GGACGTCCGCTATCCACAGAATCGGGCATGGTTCTGAGTTCCAACATGCTAGAGTTAATTTAGGTACACCTTTGGAGGCAGGTGCATGCCTTTGTCTTTTGATCTTTGTGTGACCGCATTGGAAGAAGATGCCCGTTGGCCTGCGGTTAACCAACTGGGTGAAAGTGGAGATGACCTTTGTTTAGGCCACCTTTTCTAGGCCCCTCTCTGAGTAGAGCAAGCAGTGCTGTCCTTGAAAAGGCTGCTTGGACATTCAGGGTGCTGCCCAAAGAGACTGTCATCTCTGGTCAGTCTCTAATGACCAATGCCCTGAACCACCTGCATGCAGGGTTGGGTCTGCGGCTTCCAGTGCACCTTTCACCTGCCATTTCGACCCTTGTTCATCGCCACAGGGCTTTGCAAATGTGGGTAAAGCCTTCGAGCCTGCGCAAGGGATTTTTTAGGTGAGATACAGTATGTGCGGATCTGAACCCGCCCTTTAATCCCAAGGTTCATCTCCAGGGCCGAGCGAGCTTGGACGGTGGCAGCGAGGTCCTCAGGATGTAGGTTTGTTTAGAGTGACCTTCTCTTAGATGGATGGTCTTACAGGGCTAAGCAAGCTCCATCTGCCCAGGTTTGGGATTAGAGTTGTCCTTCTCCTAGGATGACTGCCAGAAGGCTAATGATGTATTGTATCTGCCCAAGGATGTATTGTATCTGGCCCTACGGTTTTGACCTGTCTGGCATGGGCAACCCTACCAAAGGCGTGTACCATCGCCAGCATAGCTCGCAACCACATAGGGGTACAAAGGCTTCATTCTTATAAAACGATTAGTGCAAGTCTTTCACTTCCTGCTTTTCTGCCACCTATCTATATTCAATCCAAGGAAATACCCAAGAACGACCTTAAGGGTACCATTACATGAATAAAAAGCATGTCTGTTGATAAAGGAGAATAAAGTTCTTTGCTTGTGCTGACTGCACCGTTAACTCCACCTATTTGAGAAGAAATTATCTAGGTACTTTGTTTTCCTAAGCATAATACCATGAACTTTATACCTGACTGTGAAGAGAGAGCATGAGGAAAGGGAAGTGTAATAGGAAATGACCAAGACACTGGCTTTGCCTTGGTTTTGACTAGAATCTTATAGCTACAGATGCTGAGTGTGGCCCTTTGAGTCAGAATAAGGTTTTGTTATGCGCTCTTTTCTCAAATCTATTGTTCTTTACAAGTTTCTGTAAGAGCAATGCTGAAAGTTGCACCTGGTTTTGCTGAACAGAATAAATCTGTTGTTCATGAAGGTTAGTATTTACAAAAAGGTCTAGTGACAGTGACTAAAAGGTCTAGTGACAGTGACAGTCTAACTTAAATTTCACTTGTGATTTAGATAGGCATACAGAGTAGGCAGTCTTGTCTGGATTCTAGAAAATGAAATGATTTATTGCTGATCCTCACAAAAATGAGTAAGAAAGAAAAACATCAGTGACAGTGTTTGGATTTTATAAAGTCTTCGGTGTAATCTGTCTGTTTTTCCCCTCCAATAACTGTGACAAGATGGTGATAGAGGAAGTGGCAAAATTATGGTGTGCCTGGGATCCCCCAGGCTAGCTGTAGCTGATAAAGGTGTCTGAGGTCTTAGTGAGATTGGATGAGCGGGCAGCACGGTGTGATTGAAATTCGGCAATCAGAAAGTTAAGGTTATGTGCATCAGAAATTGTTTTAAACTGAATGAAATCACATTTGAGAAACTGGAGCCAGTGCTGGTGAATGACAACATTTAGGACTGTGAAGAAGGTTGCTGCTGAGGAGCTGTGTGTATTTACCCAAGATCAAGGGATACCTAGGGATGGTAATACGTTGTTAAAAACCCCCTTACTTTAATGTTTGAAACAGTTGGTTTAATGTGACTGTAGTGGGTCACTGTGGCTGGGTTTTGGTAGCGGGGGGGCTACAGGGGTGGCTTCTGCTAAAAGCTCCTAGAAGCTTTCCCTGTCCCATGGAGCCAATGCCAGCCGGCTCCAGGACGGACTTCCTCCCGCTGGCCAAGGCCAAGGCACTTAGGAATAGTAGTGATGCCTCTGTGATAAGATATTTAAGAACAGAAGGTTGTGGCGCAGAGAGAATTCCAGCCAGGGAAGAGCAGAGTGAGAACGTGGGAACAAGAAGGTAGACATCAAGGTCAGTGCAGAAGGAGGGGGAGGAGGTGCTCCAGGCACTGGAGCTGAGGCCTCTGTGGCCCGTGGTGCAGACCATGGAGCAGGCTGTCCCCCTGCAGCCCCTGGAGGACCTTTGGGGTGCAGAGCCCCCCCCTGCAGCCTATGAAGGCTCCCATGCTGGTGCAGGTGGATTTGTGAAGGAGGCTGTGACCCCGTGAGAGGCCCAAGAGTGAACAGGGTCCTGCCAGAGACGTGCAGGCCATGGAGAGGGAAGCCCACGCCGGAGCGGGTTTTTCTCAGGTAGGACTTGTGGCCCCTGTGGAAGACCCACACCGGTACAGCTCATTCGTGAAGAACTGCACCCCATGGAGAAGTGACCCACGGGACAGCAGTTTGGGAAGAACTGCTGTCCAAAGGATGGACTCACCCCAGAGAGGTCCATCAAGGACTGTCTCCCGTGGGGTGGGCTCACACTGGAGAGGTCTATCAAGGATTATCTCCCATGAGAGGGCACCCACAGGAGCAGGGAAAGGACTCCTCTCCCTGAGCAGTGGCCAAAACAACAACTGACTGTAACCCCCATTCCTCGTCCCCCTGCACTGCTGGGGGGGAGGAGGGAGAACATGGAAGGAAGGAGAGGTGAGGGGAATGTGTTTTTAAGACTTTTTTATTTCTCACTTTTTGTCTGTTAGTAATAAATTTAAGTAATATCCCCACTTTGAGTCTGTTTTGCCCATGAAGGTAATCAGTAAGTGACCTCTCCCAGCTGTTAATCTCAACTCAGGAATCCTTAGCTTTTTTTTTTTTCTCTCTCCTCTGTCCAGTTGCAGAGGGAGAGTGAGAGAGTGGCTTTAGTAGGTGCCTGGCATCCAGCCAGGGTCAACCCACTAGAGTGACTTAAGAAGAAATGTTCCATCTGGGAGTTTTCTTCCAGAACTTTGTTACTATCTGCTTTGGCTTTTTTGCGTAAGTCTCTTAATTACGACTGTTTCTCAGGGAATTGGTACTGAACTGGATGGACCATTTGCTAGTCTTGTGGCTGTTCTTAAATTTCAAAAATTTGTGTACCTTTGATTATTTTTTCAAATTTTTCTGATGCTCTCAAGAAGGTTCTAAGCGATCAGTTGATGTGACAGTTCTTTTTCTGACCGTACTTTATGTTCATGTTTACTAAAAGAAAGACCACCTAATTCTTTTGATTTGTTGTACTTTGCATTTGGTAGTTATCTACCCAGCACTCACTCGGAATTAGAGCAAAACATCATTCCCTGTTTTCCATGGACGGGATGATCTGTTTGACATAGTTCAAATATACTCCAGTTAAGGTGTCTCAGGAGATGCTGCTGAACGTCTACTATAGACAACATCACGTGAAGGGCCTTTGAAGCAGAGATTCCTTCCAACTTGCTCCCAAAGCGATATCATACTCCATCTTACAGAGATCTGAAAGCAGATGCTCTTGAAAATGCACAAGTGCAGCATTACTGTGCCAGAATAAGTAAAACACGTTCCTTCATACCCTGCTACTTAATGTTGGTATAGGTTCTGATCTAGCTGCCTGTAGTTTTTTAAACTTTACTGCAGTTGAATGTAAATTGCTGTTTCTCACACCGAGTGTTGATAGGCCTAATCCTGTTTGTTTTGTTGGTGCACATGGCCCCTGTTATGACACGCCCCAGGAAAAGAGGCGGGAGGGGGTAACCCAGGTTTTATCAAAAATTCCTTTGGGGTGGATTAAAGCAAAACGACACTAAATAATCGGTGTATGAAAACATATATTGATAAGATTTATTTTAACAATTTTGAATCAATAGGTAAGTTAACATTTTTGGGTGCTGTCATAACTTTTCTGGGGAGGAGAAAAATGCATAGGGGAGAGAAAGGCAGGATAAGAGCAAGGGAGAGTAAGGGAAAGAAAAGCTGAGAGTGGACAGATGTCCATAGTCACCGCCCACGGGGTCCAGCGATGAAACTTGATAGTTGCAGCTTCCATGTCTGTCACTTGAAGTGGTGGCCTTGATCTGCTGGGGGTGAAGGAGGGAAGCCCCCACACTCCAAGAAGTTATGAATTATCATATCCATGGTCAGTGTCACGGGCCATGCCTCCAGCCTCCAGCCTCTCCCTGGGCCCTGCCCAAGAGCTGCAGTGTCTGGCCTGGTTCCCGCCCTTTTCCCGACTGGCGGGGGAGATGGGCTCCCATGGGCCATCAGAGGTACAGTGCAACAGTCAAAAGCCTGCAAGCTCGGCTCTTCCCGCCTTTTCGGGGCTTCACATCTTCTGCGCTGGAGGAGGGGGGATGGGCCCAGTTGCCTATCAAAAAGTCAAAAGCCTGCAAAAGTCTCCGAGAATGCAAAAATCATCGAACACTTCAGTCTCTGACAGCCCCAACAAAAGCCTTTGTGATCATGAATTTCCCTCCCGTGTTTCATTATTGGCCTTGCAGCCTGTTATGGTGGTCATTATAGTGCAACAGCCAGAGGCTGTGTAAATGGTAAAGAAATGCCTAATCTGTGGTGGCACACAGCCTTTGTTTATATTTTCAGTAATCCTTGATAACAAAGAGAAAAATATTGATGATTGTATTAATCCTTCTAAGCCAAGAACAAGGGATTTCCTACTGTCCTTGCCACCGACTCTGCACTGCTGCACACGTGGTTTAGCAAGTGTAATCCTCACCTCCTTACCCTTGTCTGGAATTGCTTCAAGGCTTTTGGTAAAATATCTTTGCTTCTGCTTTTGTTGCCTGCAGTGAGTGCCAGGGGTTTCTCTGACAAACGTTAGTTTCAATGCAGAATCGTGGAGTGTTTGGTTAGAAAACCCTTTTCTGTGTCCATCATTCAGCAGCCCTGTTTTCCCCTTTCAGCTTCCTCCCAGCATGACTCGTCAGAAACACGTGAGAATCCTGAGGTCGAGGTCACTCTTGAAGGTCAGTTCAGTGGTTCATTGATTTCAGTCTGTTGGGCATTTTTATATTCAAAAAATGCTTTCCAGTGCCTGGGTTACTTGTCACTGAATAAACAGACTTATGTGCCAGTGTTGACTGCAGCTTGGATTGTGCACTGCTTGGTAAACAGATCTAGTCCAGAAGTTTTATAAAGCTACAATATGCTGAAGGATATTGGACTTCCTGGGCTGGTTTTGAAATGATGCCAGGCAGCAGTTTGCATCTTTCACGTTCATTTCAAGTGTTGGTAATGAAGAATACTCATTGAACACACAGGATGTTATAACTTTCATTCATTCTGAACAACACATTGTTTTGTAAGCACACTGTAGTTATATAAAATTTCTGGTGAACACTCGCTTCTGGGAAGAACTGTACCAGAACAGAAGGGCTGTGTCACAGGTGGCATAAGTGAAGCCTCAATTTATTTGCCTCATAGTGATAAATACGAGAAAAACCTTTGTACTTGCCACTTGCCTTTCTCATCTGAATGGCACTAAAGCCACTGCCCAGTGTTGCTGTTGTTTTCAGTCTAGGATCTTGGTTGGGAGTCAGCTCTGTTTCTTGTGTTTGTGGATTACATGTCCTGTGGCTGCTTTACAGCACTTCTGCGAGTGGCTTTTGCAGTGCTTGTTTCTGGAATTCGATTAGGATTGAGACCACCCAATTAGCAATCTAGGAAATAGGCAGGGGCATTTAGGACAAAGTTGATACTTCTGGCATTACTATTACCTTTTTGTCATCTAGTAATAAAATAACTCCTACATTTCCTCAACAGAAGAGGCAATAAGTCATTAAGTTCTGTGTACACGTAAAGGCTTTTCATCATCATCATGGCTGGGTTTCGTGAACGAAGATTTGGGAAAGGCTCTATTCACATTTGTTAACAAACCACACTGGTGGCTAAAAAGGCCAATATGAGATAGACACATCCGATTGCAAAAGGCACAGCAGAAACACTCCTTAGGTGGTATATTCTGCAAGGCATGATTCTTTCTACCTTGTCTTTTCTCGTCGAGAGTGATTCTGCATGTATTCTCAAAAGAAGCAGCAGTGTTATAGATGATGTGTCTCCAGAACTCCTGATTGGAGAGTAGACCAGTTATGGTGATCAATATGGCCAAGGATGAGATGTTGTTTCAGGGAGTCCTTGTATCTTTTCTTCGGGGCTCCTCTCTTACAGCAGCCAGTGGCCAGTTCACCATAGAGCAAGATCTTAGGGAGGCGGTGGTTGGTCCTTCATCCTGGAGACGTGCCCTGCCCAGCACAGCTGTGTTCTCATCAACATGGCCTCAATACTTGTGACTGCTGCTTGTTCTAGAACAGATGTATTGGTCACATAATCTGACCAGTGGACGTTAAGGACTGTACAGAGGCAGTGTTGATGGAAGCATTCTAGGAGTTGCAGGTGGTGGCGGTAGATGACCCATGATTCGGAACCATATAAAAGAGTAGACAGCACTATGGCTTTGTAAACACTGATCTTAGTACTTTTCTTCAAGTGTTTATTACGCCAAACGTTATGGCCATACCACCCCGAAAATACCCGATCCCGTCTGATCTTGGTAAATGCCTTTACACAAAAGCAAAAATGGTCTGAAGGGGTTTTGTCTGACAGAATATAATACAACTGCATAGGTACAAGGTGTGTCAATATGTCATGTTATTCTTGCAAAGTGAACTATACCCTTAGTGACCTGGGTACCTGCTATTCTTTATGTGAAATTGATTGTCTTTGTCTGTTGAAATGGTTCATTTTCCATTAAGGTTGCAGGTGTTGGGAATTGGACAGTCTTCCTAGCTCAGGAACCAAAGGAGGATAGGGTTGGATTGAGAAGTGACTGGCTGAGTAGCAGCTCACGCAAAAATTCCTGCATTTGCAGTTTTCCTGTCTGTCCATCTGTGTGTGTTTTAGGTGGAGTTGACCTGTTACATGAGTTTTCATTTGTGTCCATTAGTTTTACAGTGTTTTGAAACTGGTTTTAGCACCTTTGAGCTCTTCAAGACAAAACTTAGGTACTGTTGTTGCGAGACTTTCTAGTGGAAGGGTACTACTTCCAGTTAGATAAAAAAAATGTAGTCAATATCTGCACAGTTTATTTCCTGATTTCCTTTTGCTGTTGCATGGTCATTTTATGATTGTGAGGTTTGCAGTCATGTTTCAAAACACGAAGTACAGAAGCAGCTGTGCTTTTTGCTATCTTGTGCCTTACAGAGTCCGTCTTGCACAGGTTGTTCCTACAGGGGTAGGAAGAGGAGCTTTCTAAAGTTTCTCACATAAGTAATGTGTTGCACAGTTTGGTGCCCTGATAAGCCCAGTCCAATACTTGCATTAGAGCTTTGAAATTCAAAGCAGTTCCAGCATTGCACATGAGTTGTCTGGACATTGAACCAGTGTTCAATTTTTATGTTTCTTTAAGATGATGATGACTATCTGCCCCATAACGAGAGACCAAAAAGTGCCCAGTCAACTAATGGAGCTGACAATTCTGGGAGAAGAAAAGCGGAAGAGTGCAATGTTGGTAAGTGTAGAGTGAGATACACGCAGGTATCCCCCCAAAATGCCAAGGCATTGGAACGATCCCAAAAAAGGTTTATTTCCAAGGTAAGAACACAAAAACTGAGAAAACAAAATCTGCCCCAGCTGAGGAAAATGCTGGGCCTGAGAAACTCCTGCCTCCTGATCTCTGCCAGGCTTGTTTTCTTCTCTGGCCTCCTTCCCCCAGGCTCACCGCCAGCATGGCCTGTAACACCCATGAGGGTTTCTCTCTCCTCAGCCCAGAGAGAGAGACTGCAGCTTTTTCTCTGGAATGCAAAAGGTGAAGGGAAGGGAAAACATCCAGTTGTTTTTTAAAGTGTACTCTTGGGCAGGAGGGACTACCTTAGGGAAAACAAGTTCTAACTCCTCGTTACAAATTCTTCTGAAAGGGTACCACCCCTACAGTAAAGCATATTTCTTCTCTCTGCTTGGTATTATAAAAAGATATTATGCTGCAGGAGCGAGACACACCAGTGCAAGCATTCATTTAAAAGCTCAGGGCTCTTTGTAGATGTATTGCAGGAGTATAATCATCATCATAGGCTACCTCTGTTGCTTTTAGTTCTTCAAAGTGAGCACGTGAATGGACACACAGAAAGCTGGGATCTTTTTGGTGGTGTTCTTTCATGATCCCTTAAGTAGAGTTCTCCACAGAAATGCACCCACACGCCATGGTTACTCTGGTCAAAGATGCTTTCCCGGGGATTTTTTGGAAGTCCTTTACCTCTCCTTAATTCTTTGGTTTGTTTTGGTTTCTGGACATATAGCCCATTCATCTGTCTACTTTTATAGTAGACAGCCTAATCAGGTAGATGTTTTTTACCTGATATGTATAAAGGAAGCCACCAGTGTTCAGATTGCAGTGAAGGAACAGATGTGGAAACACGGTTAGAAGATCAGAGATGTGAAATGTTTTTTGTGAGAATAAATTAATGTAATCGGTTGGGATTTTTTTACTGAAATATTTGAAAAGGTGTCATCTTAATTGGAGTTGTACTTCTTCTCCAACCACATTTCTCTTTTCATATTTCCACAAGGTTGCCATTTGTGATTTTGGTTTTGTTTTCATCTCTCAAGTCACACCACTCTGGGGCATGCTAGAATCTTTTATTATTTTTTTTAAACTCTTCTGATGCTCTCAAAGTGTTCTAAGCAGTCAGTTGATGTGACAGTTATTTTTGTGACCTGTGCTGGTTTAAAAGTAAACCGGCAGGAGAAATGAACCCAACTCAAGACAGATTACAAGTCAGAGTTGCAATTTACTAAAAAGATTACAATAAATAGAATGATAGAGCAAAAACTAGTTTTACCCCCCAAAGGCAGCTGTATAACCCAGCCCCCTGTGACAAGAAGCGAATGGTGTTCATTTGCTGTTACCACGTGGCCCCCCCGGGTGCAAAGTAAAAGGAAAGGAAGCCTGTTGGTCCAGATGATGGTCGCAGTTCTGCAGAAGTAATGACTGCCGTCTTGTGGAGAGTGGCAGTCAGAGTCCTGTTGAAGTTCTTGTCCTCCTCTGGATCCGAAGAGTGGTACCAGAAGTCCCAAAGCTGGAGGATTATATATTCTCAGGTTCAGGTGGGAATGCCTAGTACATCCTCCAGGGCAGGAAGTTTCACAATGGGTGATTTAACTCTGTGAGTCCTGGGATATTTTTGGAATCTTTGATGGCCTAGGTCATTGCAGCTGCCTATTATGCCCATCCCTTATGGCCCAATAGCAGAGATGACCCTCTCAGGCTGGGTGTGAAGGTGCTAATGCCTCCCTGGAGGGGAGTTACCACAGCTGAGTCACTGGTGTGAAGACAAAAAATCACTCACCTGCATCTCAGGGTTCTTCAACACCCAGTTTGTAGCCTGAGGTGTCAGGTGTGCCCTGGACAGCTGCTGCAAACGGTCCACTATTACCAGTCCATTAGAAATGACACAGAGGGTGTAGAATACAGAGTTTTGGTTATACCCACATAGTGGTAAACAGGTCCAGGCCTCTGTAACTAGGACATGACTGTATTTTATGTTCATGTCTACTAAAAGAAAGACCACCTAATTCTTTTGGTTGTTGTACTTTGCATTTGGTAGTTATCTACCCAGCACTCACTCGGAATTAGAGCAAAACATCATTCCCTGTTTTCCATGGACGGGATGATCTGTTTGACATAGTTCAAATATACTCCAGTTAAGGTGTCTCAGGAGATGCTGCTGAACGTCTACTATAGACAACATCACGTGAAGGGCCTTTGAAGCAGAGATTCCTTCCAACTTGCTCCCAAAGCGATATCATACTCCATCTTACGGAGATCTGAAAACAGATGCTCTTGAAAATGCACAAGTGCAGCATTACTGTGCCAGAATAAGTAAAACACGTTCCTTCATACCCTGCTGCTTAATGTTGGTATAGTTTCTGATCTAGCTGCCTGTAGTTTTTTAAACTTTACTGCAGTTGAATGTAAATTGCTGTTTCTCACACCGAGTGTTGATAGGCCTAATCCTGTTTGTTTTGTTGGTGCACATGGCCTCAACAAAAGCCTTTGTGATCATGAATTTCCCTCTCGTGTTTCATTATTGGCCTTGCAGCCTGTTATGGTGGTCATTACAGTGCAACAGCCAGAGGCTGTGTAAATGGTAAAGAAATGCCTAATCTGTGGTGGCACACAGCCTTTGTTTATATTTTCAGTAATCCTTGATAACAAAGAGAAAAATATTGATGATTGTATTAATCCTTCTAAGCCAAGAACAAGGGATTTCCTACTGTCCTTGCCACCAACTCTGCACTGCTGCACACGTGGTTTAGCAAGTGTAATCCTCACCTCCTTACCCTTGTCTGGAATTGCTTCAAGGCTTTTGGTAAAATATCTTTGCTTCTGCTTTTGTTGCCTGCAGTGAGTGGCAGGGGTTTCTCTGACAAATGTTAGTTTCAATGCAGAATCGTGGAGTGTTTGGTTAGAAAACCCTTTTCTGTGTCCATCATTCAGCAGCCCTGTTTTCCCCTTTCAGCTTCCTCCCAGCATGACTCGTCAGAAACAAGTGAGGATTCTGAGGTTGAGTTCTCCAATGAAGAAGGTCAGTTCAGTGGTTCATTGATTTCAGTCTGTTGGGCATATTCAAAAAATGCTTTCCAGTGCCTGGGTTACTTGTCACTGAATAAACAGACTTATGTGCCAGTGTTGACTGCAGCTTGGATTGTGCACTGCTTGGTAAACAGATCTAGTCCAGAAGTTTTATAAAGCTACAATATGCTGAAGGATATTGGACTTCCTGGGCTGGTTTTGAAATGATGCCAGGCAGCAGTTTGCATCTTTCACGTTCATTTCAAGTGTTGGTAATGAAGAATACTCATTGAACACACAGGATGTTATAACTTTCATTCATTCTGAACAACACATTGTTTTGTAAGCACACTGTAGTTATATAAAATTTCTGGTGAACACTCGCTTCTGGGAAGAACTGTACCAGAACAGAAGGGCTGTGTCACAGGTGGCATAAGTGAAGCCTCAATTTATTTGCCTCATAGCGATAAATACGAGAGAAAAACCTTTACACTTGCCACTTGCCTTTCTCATCTGAATGGCACTAAAGCCACTGCCCAGTGTTGCTGTTGTTTTCAGTGTAGGATCTTGGTTGGGAGTCAGCTCTGTTTCTTGTGTTTGTGGATTACATGTCCTGTGACTGCTTTACAGCACTTCTGCGAGTGGCTTTGCAGTGCTTGTTTCTGGAATTCGATTAGGATTGAGACCACCCAATTAGCAATCTAGGAAATAGGCAGGGGCATTTAGGACAGAAGCTGACACTTCTGGCATTACTATTACCTTTTTGTCATCCAGCAATAAAGTAACTCTTACAGAAGAGTTCTTATTACCTCAACAGAAGAGGTAATAAGAGTCATTAAGTTCTGTGTATCCGTAAAAGTCTTTCCGCAAAAGTAAAAATGATCTGGAGGGGTTTTGTCTGACGGAATATAATACAACTGCATAGGTACAAGGTGTGTCAATATGTCATGTTATTCTTGCAAAGTGAACTATACCCTTAGTGACCTGGGTACCTGCTATTCTTTATGTGAAATTGATTGTCTTTGTCTGTTGAAATGGTTCATTTTCCATTAAGGTTGCAGGTGTTGGGAATTGGACAGTCTTCCTAGCTCAGGAACCTAAGGAGGATAGGGTTGGATTGAGAAGTGACTGGCTGAGTAGCAGCTCACGCAAAAATTCCTGCATTTGCAGTTTTCCTGTCTGTCCATCTGTGTGTGTTTTAGGTGGAGTTGACCTGTTACATGAGTTTTCATTTGTGTCCATTAGTTTTACAGTGTTTTGAAACTGGTTTTAGCACCTTTGAGCTCTTCAAGACAAAACTTAGGTACTGTTGTTGCGAGACTTTCTAGTGGAAGGGTACTACTTCCAGTTAGATAAAAAAAATGTAGTCAATATCTGCACAGTTTATTTCCTGATTTCCTTTTGCTGTTGCATGGTCATTTTATGATTGTGAGGTTTGCAGTCATGTTTCAAAACACAATGTTGTTTTCCTTAGGAAGTACAGAAGCAGCTGTGCTTTTTGCTATCTTGTGCCTTACAGAGTCCGTCTTGCACAGGTTGTTCCTACAGGGGTAGGAAGAGGAGCTTTCTAAAGTTTCTCACATAAGTAATGTGTTGCACAGTTTAGTGCCCTGATAAGCCCAGTCCAATACTTGCATTAGAGCTTTGAAATTCAAAGCAGTTCCAGCATTGCACATGAGTTGTCTGGACATTGAACCAGTGTTCAATTTTTATGTTTCTTTAAGATGATGATGACTATATGCCCTCATATAAGAGACGAAAAAGGACCAAGTCGACTAATGAAGCTGGCAATTCTGAGAGAAGAAAAGTTGGAGAATTCAATTTTGGTAAGATAAAAAATTAAAATTTTTTTTCTCTCTGCTTGGTTTTCTGAAGAGGTGTCAGGCCATGTCATGTTGCAGGAGTGAGACACAGCTGTGCAAGCATTCATTTAAGAGCCCAGGGCTCTTTTTAGATGTATTGCAGGAGTATAATCATCATCATCGGCTACCTCTGTTCCTTTTTGTTCTTCAAAGTGAGCACGTGAATGGACACACAGAAAGTTGGGATCTTTTTGGTGGTGTTCTTTCATGCTTCCTTATGTAGATTTCTCCACAGAAATGCATCCACATGCCGTGGTTACTCTGGTCAAAGATGCTTTCCTGGGGATATTTTGGAAGTCCTTTACCTCTCCTTAATTCTTTGGTTTATTTTGGTTTCTGGACGTGTAGCCCATTCATCTGTCTGCTTTTATAAGGTTCTGTGCAGTCTGGAATATGTCCTTTGGCACATTATTTGAGATGTTTCTTAGGAATTCTGGAATTTGAGGTGAATTGAAAAGTCCCCTTGGATCTCCTTCTGACATTTGTATTGTATGAAACATGTATTTAATGCTAATTTCAGCCAAAATAATAAAGTATTGTGAGCTGTCGTCTTTTAAGGTCATTACTACTAGTAGCCACTTCCATATTTAACATTATTTTTGGGTGCTACCAGAGAACATAATGGCATTGGCGAGTACAATACTTACCACTTACTCTTGCAAAGCTTTCCCTATATATATTCTCTCAGCAGAAAACAGCATTTAAGCTTTGCGTGACAACAGTTTTTGTAAGAGATATGAAGAGTGATGTTGGTTAGAGATGTAGAGCAAAGGTAATTAGCTTTTAGGGCAATAAAAATTTTAGTTGAGCTTGCAATGTTGAAACACCAGTTTAAGAGCATCTCAGAGCTTATCTGCTCACTGTTGCTCTGAGTTGACTTAGTTTATTGCTCTGAGCTATTCTCAAGAAAATTTTGTTCTAAACCACCCACTCTGCACTTAGATTACAGGGATTTACAGCTCACGGGTTTTTCAGACATCTTTACTCCTGGGTTTCCTACTTTGTATTGGCGTTATTACCCCTCATGTTCACTTTGGGGTTCACCTACAGAAAGTGGCATTTCTGTATAGTGTTTCCAGGTCTGTTTAAAACACAAAATGAATGTGAGAAGCTTCAGAGAAAGATACTTCATTTTCTCTAATGGAAAAAATAGCAACTGTTCGTAGTTTCAGTGCTGGTGTTCGGATATTTCAGAAGACTTTGCACCTTTGATAACCAAGTCTAATATTAGCTAATGGGACAGGAGAAAGGAGGTGGTTAATTCTATCACGAGAAGCTTTGTCATTCTGCAGAATGACAAAGGCACATGCACTCAGAAAACTGGAAAGGGGGTATAGATGCTTGAGAGAGAAATCTGTCTCATCTGATAAGGACTTTCAGTATTTTACATAACAGCAATGAGATGTTTGGGTTGGAGGGACTTCCTTGATGTCTTGATTGATTGATCAGGTAGCCCAAGTGGCCTGAGAAACAGGGTGAATAATGAACTGTGCTCTTAGTTTTGTGGAGACAGAAAAACAAAATAATTGTAACAAATGTCTATTAAAATGTTTGATAGAATTTGATAATCTCTGGGAAGGGAGGTTGGATTTCAAAAAAAATCTGAACCAGCTGTTTGAGGTTAAAAAATATCATTGCTGAAAGGAACTGACATTGTCAGTAAAAATCACTTTCCATGTTCTTTTGCTTTCTTAAGAAATTTTATAAAAAGGTCAGAAGCCTCAAGTTGTGTCTTACAGTTGTGTTAAACCATTTTAGTGGGGAATAAAGTCCCCCTAGCTGTTGTCTGACTACGACAGTGATGGGAAGTGTGTATGTTTTTTCCCCATTTTGGCACACTGTTGAGCACAGGTTTTACCAGCTTGCAGCATGCTTAGAGTTGCTCTCTGTTTTCTATGCTGAGTTGTGTGTTTTCTGTTTTATTTCCCCATGGAGTACTCTATGGCATGGATATGGGAATAGTAGAGTGCCTAGTACCTGAGCATCAATGTATGTACACTGTGCAGGTTTCCTCAGCTGTAGTGGATGTTATCTGGAACATATCCAAAGGAGCAGAGAATGGATAAATTGAGGAGACTGTGGACAAACGGGGGAAGTTTTCAGGGTTGTTATTTAACTGGGATGGTGTATCAGAAGGTGTTTATGGAGGAATAGAAGGAAACCACCGGTTTTTTTGGTGCCTACAGGAAAACTAAATTGCTTTGTGATGGTTACTAAAACAGAGCTTAGTTTTGTGATAGGTCTTTAACTTTGCTATGTGAGCACAAAGTGTGTGATGAAAGAATGTTTTTACAGTAATTGGTCAGGATCCAAGGGGTTAGTAATGCTGACAATCAGATTAAAAAATCACACTGGTTACCTGATAATCCCTCTGAATTTTTAAATATCTCTGTTGTTCGATTTACTAATAAAGTATAAAAGTAGCCAAAAAAACAGTGTGCTGACCAAAATGTGAGCCAGTTTATGATTTTTTTTTCCAGTTTCCTGTTCTCTGTGTATTCACCATTCCAAACAAAAATGCCTGTAATGTGTAATTGATTATGAATCCCTGTAGTGTTTCCATTGGAGGGAGAGGGACATGAAAGTAGGAGATTGAAAAGATCCACATGGTATATTTGACCAGTGATAGTGAGATTTGGAAACTGAGAAAAATGAAGCCTTGATAGCTTAATGGCTTATGTAGGAGAACAGTCGGGGTAGGAGCAGTGTCTCCTAAAATTGTGCAACCACCAATATTCAGTATTATTTGTATGCTTCTATATGGTTGGTTTGTAATATGGTATGACATTGTTTCTGCCTGTTCTCCTTCTAACAAAAAACAGCCTGAGTTTTAGAGGAGATCATTTCTCGAGTCTGCCTTAGAGCTTGACGAACTGACAGGATCTCAACTGTTAATGCTTTCCTCAGTTCCACTCCTGAGTCACACAGATGCCTTTTAAAACCCTTGCTCCATGACTGTCCATGTGTGTTCACCAGCTCTGTGGAGTAAAGTAGGGTTTCCCCTTTAGACCAGCCAGTTCTGGCTCATATTTTCCTGGCTTTTCTGCTAAAGCTGCTGTTAATCCATTGTTCCACTGGTCAACAGAAAATGCAGTTGGTGGTTGTGCTAAAATCAGAGAGAGCTTCATCTAGGTCTATATCTGAAGTTAAAGGAGGGAATATTGTAAGGAGAAAGCGACACAGGAATAGAAAACATTGAGCTCACAATGTGTTTATCACATAAGAAGCTGTGCAGTACAGGGTAGCAGTAGAGGGGTGGCAGAAGTAATTGTATAAATTTATCCACAAGAATGTAATTTCAAAATCTGCCAGGTAACTAGAATGAAGAGTTTGTGTGGATGCAAGGCAGCATGCCAAAATACCCTTTCCCTGTTAAAAAAGGTCTAATTCTTGCCTACATCTAAAGCATTCTGTTCTGTTGATATCCATGAAGCTACATTAAAAAAAAAAAAGATTAAATATGGACACCAAAGCTGTGTACATTGGTCTGAGAATGAATATTTAAGTCCCTTTTGATAGAGACTCAAAATTCAGTCCTCTATCTTGTCTAAGTATTTTTTGACAACTGGAAGTGTCATAGCTTGAATGGCGTCATTTTTTGACCTCTGTAGTTACTAGATTCAAGTCTTTGGAGTAAGAAATAAGCTGTAAGTACACTTGCTTAATTCTTTCTTAAAAGACCAGACGACATCTGGTAACATCTACAAAAGAGTTGTGGAATTTTCCTAAAAGCATTGAGATAGTACAAAAAAGCAGTGAAAACGTGTGCTCTGTCACAGGCAGGAAAATAAGTGTTAAAATTCTACCATTTAATCCAGTTGTCCATGTAACACAGGACTGGATTTGGATAACTTCTGTCTTGCAGTCTGTATCTTCTTTCAGAAGTAGGATTTATGAGGATGTTTTGCAACACCAGGACTTGGAGAAATGCTGGGTTAAGGTAGAGGATGGCACAATGCCTCCTGACCCAGATAGTTATACAGATTTGCACCAAAACAACTCCATGTACTCACTGTATGCTTTATCAATCTTCAATAATTAAGCTTTTCAGCACACAAATTTAGATAACTATCAACAGCAGCTACAAACTGCCTTTACCCCTGATGGCTATGAGAGCTGCTGACTGATCCGTCGAAGAGAAACCAGTTTTGGAAGTTACTTTAGCCTGGTTTGTGTTGTGGTTTTTTTAACTTGATTTAATATACAAGATTCGTAGTAATCTTAAAGAATTTATTCTGTACTTTTTTTTTTTCCTGAACATATCCATTTGCTTTAAAGTATAGCCTGTACTGTACTCTGCAGTCACCTGTATGCAAGTGAGCAGTAAAAGCACACTGCATATTTCATTGGTAACACAGACTTTACAAGAGATCCTCAGTTTTGTTTGTAGTCTGACATGTCCTTCTCTTTGCAGAGAAATGGAATGCACGAATTACAGACTTGAGAAAGCAAGTTGAAGAGCTGTTTGAAAAAAAATACGGTATGTGCTACACACCATTCCAAACCATTGCCTCTAGTTCTTACTGTGACAGCCCTTTGGCTTGTATCTTGTTGGCTCAGGAGTACACCTGAACTGACAGCACCAAAGGGTTAAATACTGCTAAAAGACGTAAAACTGGGGAAAGTAGCTTTTTTGATTAGCAGAGTAATTTCAAAATGGAGTGTCTCCGTTTGGCACCAAAGTGCAAAACTTGGTACTAGTTTTGTTCAGTTTCCTGGAACTCCAGCATGCTCATGTCTTAGGCAACCACATTTGAGAGAGCTGTCCTTTTTTCTGTAATTACACCGAGTTCTTACATGAAAGAATCTTGTTAGAATGGCTCTAGGGAGAGGTTGCCACTCATTGATTGTTCCTGTCTGATTATGACTGATTTGCAGTGAAGCAAAAATTATATGTTAATGGCTCTTGGAAAGAAAAAGGATCAGACATGTTAGACCTTGGAATTTGTTTCCAGATGCTGCATGTAGATATATTTTATGTCCCAGTATCACAGACTAAAACAGCATCAGCAAAGATTTCAAAATAAATGGTGGTGCTCATCTACCACAAAAAGTGGAAGTGCTTTCAGAATGGACCTTGTGATTTGGAGTTATTACATGTTTCGGGTGTGACTATCATCTGACATTTAAACAGCCCACTGAAAGCAACTCACATCAAGTTCAGGGTCTCATTCACTGTATTTTAATTGCTCTAAAAAGGAGCATCATTCTTAGTGAATTGCTTTAATTTTGATTTTGGTGTTTGCACATAGTCAGCCTAAAAATCTCCTGTGTAGTCTGTGGAATACTGAGCTATTCCTGACTTTCCATAGCAGGGCATCTGGTATTAAGTTATCCCCTTTTCCCTGTGGATGACAATATTGCTTTGATTCACAAACCAATTCCTTATCAGACTCTAGTTCTTTCTGTATGGGCATGCAATCTCCCATTTACTGAAATGAGTTATGGATGTCCAGAATTCCCAGAATGCTCTTCAAATTTGTTGGCTTTTGTAGCTCCAGAGTGTTTTAGCAATGTCAGTCACTGTAATCCATTGCAACTGATGTGTCTGAAAATATAGTTTTGTGTCTAGATGAAAACTAAATGGGTTTACTTGTTAGTGACTTTACATATACAGACTAATTCATAAAAATGAAAGCTGTATTCACTAGAATTTCTATGCAAAAACATGTAAGATTCCAAATCTGAGAAGCTTCACTGCAGACTGTGATGCTGATGGTGTTTTTAGGCTCTATGAAGTGTACTGGCTAAAAAATTTGCTGATTTAAGAGAAATAAAGACTCTCACCTGTAAAAACTTACCTGTTATTAGTTACTTACGTAAACAGAGAGGATTTCTGTTCCTGTGAAGCTGTTCTTACTTGATGCTTGGTAGTGATCTGGATTTTAGTGATGTTGATCTGTTACCCTGAGCTTGTCTGCTGGATTTGTTGCGCTTTTCACCACATGCCACAACAGCCCCCAGGGCTGAGAATAATTTTCTTTTTAATTTCTTGAAAGAGGTATATGACTGCAATAAAAATCTACATTAATGAAGGACTGAGGTGATACACAGCAGCTCTTTTGATTGTTCTGGAGCACCTTTGGCATGTGTTTGAGTAGGGTTTCATTAGTCTATTTGCTAAGATTCATCTTCAGGTTCGTGTCCATCTCTATGATTCTATTCTCTGTCTCCAGTTTTGGCCATCTTGTATTTGCCAGTTGAAACCAAGTCTAATTGAAACACCGTTCTTGCAGTTTTCTAAAACTTTGATACACAGTTCCGATCAGCATAGAAGACTAAGATACATACAAGACTAAGATGACATATGTACAAGACTAATAGTAAACTGTACTAAGAAATGTACTTGTTTTCAACGTTTGCCTATTTTGTGATAAACATCCCTAGAAATATTCTGGTTCCAAGTGGTTGAAAGAGTGTGTTACCCACGTAGCTTTAAAACTTACACTGTTTTATTGCATTTGTGAGTTAATGAGAGCATTTTGCATAGACAATGTCTGAACCACGGGCCACTTAGACATGACATTAAGTTGCTTGAAAAGGTGCCCAGAGTAGTTTTGCTTTCAGAAATGCTGCCACAACATCACTGTACTCTAATTTGGCCTTAGCTTGGCTTTTGTCTTCTCAAATAATTTTTTACATCTAATTTCCATAGCAAAACAACAGAATGTACCAAACTATTTGTTGCATGGCTTACAAAGTTAACATACCCTTGGGAGTATAAAGAAATCAGCCCTCTTCATATTTGCAAAGCCTTGTGTCATTCTCCAGTATTTGCCAGCCTGATACATGTATTGATATGATTATGGTCCTCATAACTTAAATACACGGAGGTTATTTTCCATCTGTGGCTGAGTCAGTTATTTGCTTTCCATTTGCTTCAAAGACCTCATTAGTAAGGCCATGCTTTTTTCAGTAGTGTTAGAAGTGTATTGTTTATTTCCTTAGTGGTTCCTTGGATTTCTAAAATAAACCACAACTTTAGGAATTCACTGAAAAAGAAGGTATGTGTGCCCCTCCTCCAAGGCTTTAATGACTTTTGTAAGCCAATATTAGTAACAAATAATAATAGTAAGAGCTAGTGAACTGAAACATGCTTGGTTTATAATTAAGTCTAGGTAACTTCATCTTTCAAAATGAACTATTAAACAAAACGAAAATAGTGTGACTCTTCACTCTTAACAGGTGCAGTTGTTATGAACTGTTAACTGTTAAGAAACATTTACAGAGTAAAGGGAAAAGAGGAGGATCTACATCTGCAGCTTGTTTACTGTGAATCAGAGTGATTTTGCTACAAAACAAAAACAATGAATGCTTGCATATTTAAATGTGCTAAGGGGTTATTGCCCATCTACTAATTATAATGTTTATCAGAGTGATATCAAACAGGTAATTTGATTAGAGCCACAAGCCAGTCTAATCTTTTTATTCTTCTTTTTCCTCAAAGCTGAAGCTATAAAAGCAAAAGGTCGAGTGTCTATCCCATACTCACTCTTCCAGTCAACTGCAGAAGACTTACAAGTGGAAGGGCTGCCAGAAGGTGTCCCCTTCAGGCGTCCATCCACGTACGGCATTCCCCGGCTGGAGAGGATACTTCTAGCAAAGGAGAGGATTAAATTTGTGATTAAAAGGTGTGGAACTTTGCATTTTTGTCTGTACATTACTCATTGTTTTCTGCTGGCTCCTCTCTGCTTCATTTTATCTTCAAGAACTTCCAGACTGGTTTCTACTGATATATTCATTTGCAATACTAAGGAGGGATTTTTAGTTGATGTTCACTCTGATAAACTCAGCTTATCAGACCAGCAGAACACCACAGTGGTGTGGGCAGTTCTCTGGACAGATCTCTTCAATATTATGGATTTCTTGTCATGAGCAGATCTCTTTGTACTGTTCAAATCTCTTCAGCTGCAGTACCTGTTAAAAGCCATTGACTGGCATATTTGATGCTATCTGAGGATCTTGGCCTAAATTTCAGCTTGTGTTTTTATTTTTTTTTCTTGCTGGAACGCTGTATCAAAGTGTCTATGGCTGTATCTGTATAGAGGATCTCCCAGGGCAGGCTTGAGGCCAAGATATAGCTACTGGTTCCTGTGGTTTAATTGGATGTGTGTCTTGTGTGTACCTGGAGGTAGATCAGGTAGCATACATGAAGGACACCTAAGGTGCACCTAGAGACTGCTTGAAGCTTAAAGGAAGCTTCAGTGAGTATCAGCTCATGTTTTCCTGGGGTTTAGTGGTGTAGGGCCTAATCCAAGTTTTTGAAATGGACAGGAATCTGCTGATTGCAGTGGTCAGGGTCAGAATTGGGAGTAATGACAGCCCCTGCCCCTGTGCTAGTTGCTCCTATTTGAGAGGTACATGGCCAGTTTCTGTCATCCTGATGCTTGCAGATAACTAGGAAAGAGGAAGAAGTGTAGATATACCTTTTGTCTGACTTAAAATCAGACACTATGCATAGATTTTAGTATCCATGCAATGCTGGCACCGTCTCTTGTCAAATTTGTCTTAGTTGTTAACAGAAATCATTTTATGCTGTTTATCGGTTTTGTAATATGTGGTAACCAGAGCAGCTCAAAAACCAGTTCGGCTCTGTGAGAAACATCAGAATGCTTAATTTCTTGTTTGTTTAAATGTGGATAAAACTAGATGTATTTGAGAAACCGAAGTGTCTGCTTTGAAGTTTTGCTTTTTAGAGATTAAACTTTTGGTTTGGATCTTTGTTTCTTATGAAATGTATCTTAGAGTTAAGTTTAATGGAACCTGTATGTTACCATGAAATGTTATAGCTCAAGTGGATATGGATATCAGGCATGAAAAATGTTTTGTTAGTAGTGTTCCAATTAGCTTTTATGCTACTTTGGTCTTAATTGGAATTTAATGTTGGGAATTATGATGTCCCCTGAGGCGTTTTTTGTTTGGTTGGTTTTTTTCTGATCCTTCAGTAGTAACTTGAGGCTGTAACTGGAGGCTGGTTTCTCAAAGTGTCTGTTACTGTTAAGCATGTATCTTAAATCTTTTAGGGAGGAACTTCTGAATTCAACAGATGTTCCACTGGACAAAACAGCTAAAGGAGGTAAGTTTTCAAATGTGTGAGTTGTACAAGTACAGTATGATATTCATATTTGTCAGTCTTAGTGGTGGCTACAATTTGCTTTTACTAATAACACATTGCAAATAATTCCTCTGGATTTGAATTTTCTTTAGCTACAGAGGGACAGCAGTTTTCCACTGGTTATCCAAGCCAATGTTACTAACACTCTGTCAATTAATTTGATTCAGCTGGTTTTCAAAGGAAAAACCTTGAGCTAGGTGTTAGTCTGTTGAGATATAGAGAAAAGGCAACAGTTTCCACAGCTGATAAGAGTTTACTGGGAACTGTCTGTACTGTGGAATAATTGCTTATATATGGTATTTTCCAAAATCAGATTAACTGAAATGCACTGATGAACATAGTGATTATAGTGGTGCAAAAATAATACATTCCATCCACTTTTCCCATCAGGAATACTTTTCAGGAGATTCATGCTCTTACATGTCTTGTCTCCATTGAGCACCCATCCAAAGATAGCAAAAATGACCATGGAAATTTAAGACTACAGGAATAGATTTTTTTTTTCCAGTTGCACCCATGAATTCATTTCCTCTCAAACTGGGAGAAAGAAGTTTAACATTGAAAAAGAATCAAGTTTTGAAAGAATTGTACCTTTGCACGAACACTGGTTGGTAAATATCTTTCCCCGACTTGTTTTTCTGTTCAGTTGAATTCTATTGTTTCTTGGGCTTCAGAGCATTTTTTTAAATGTCCAATTAAACCAAGTGTTGAAAGCTTGTAAGTCTGAAAAAACAGTTGCAAAGAAATTGCTCCCAAACCCAAAATGCTAACTGGCACCCTCAACCTGGTTGAACTGTGAATTTTAGTAATACCAGAGAAGTCCTTAGTTCAGACAGTAACACAAGCATATAGACAGAACTGTTTGCACTAGTGCAACACCGTTATGTTGTATTATATACTCATAGTCTTCTGTTGTAAAAAGTATATCAAAGACTGTACTAAGATGAATATCAAGGATATAAATTAAGCAAAGCAATTATGCCATAAAAATGTGTCTTTAACATGTGTGCAGGAATTAAACTTTTCCTGAAGTATAAGTTAACGTAGTGTTTTGAGTCTTAATAACCTACTGTTCCTTCAAGCAGCAAATTTGACTACAAAAATAGTAGGTAGGCTAATAACTGAGCCTTAACCCTAGGTGTACTTTTGTCTGGGTCAGGTTAGCCCTTTTCTCTGTTGTTTTAGTCATATTTAATATGTTTGTGCTGATTACGAAGGCAAAGTAATCTCATAAAACTCCTGTAGCTAAGAAAACCAGTGGTAAACAATTTTTATGACACAGCATTATGAACAGTTTCTTTCATTTCTTGTCATCACTGACTTGTAGTGATAGTCATGTGTGACCTCTGCATCCTTTCTAAGAGAAGAGAGCATCTGTGGAAGCTGTCAGTAACATCTCAGGGAACACAGAAGACAGCAGATGTCTGAGCCTCCTTTCCCTCAGTTTTCTTTTCTTCCTGTTTGGATTCCCTCTTTCCCAGTAGTTCACTGTCTCCTCTGCTACTCCATGTGTCCACTGCCATCTTAAAAGACATTGGCTCCACGTCCTATGTCCTGCTCTGTCCATAGCACCTGCTAGCTTGTATCCCCAGCAGGAGAGGAATGGTGTGAATATGGAACCTGTATTTTGACTGGCAGAGGAAATGATGATTTGGGTTTGCATTCCTGTGGGAAGCAGTCTAGTCAGGAAGGTTTTATAGAATGGCTTCAGTCCTGAAACCCTTAATAGACTGATACTGGCTGCAAGACAAAACCAGTCAGGCAGTGATGGTTTGGCTCAGGAATGGCTGGAGAAGCATGAACTGGTGCTTATGCTGATAGCCCAACCTGGTGCAGTGCAGTTATGGAGTGCAGGTTTTTGCTTCTGCATGCTGGCTAAACCCATGGTGTGGCAGCTGCCCGTGTCTTGTACGAGCTTCACAAAAAGCTTCGACAATAAGTTTGACTTATTGGTCACAAAGACATATTCAGAAGAAAAAAGTGATTTGTATTATATGTCCTTTCATCCCTTGTAAGCAGGTTTTCATTCCATAGGCATGCCTAATTCTGCATTGAATATCAAGATAATTCTTCAGAAAATGCACTGGCAAAAATCTAATCCCATCTCCAAGTGGGACTGCAGATCAGAGGTGGCTGATGAAAGCATTGTAATTCTTGTGTATTTTGTAGGAAGTGATGTCACTGGTTCAGTGGATTTTTGTTCAGTTTTAATATTATGTCATTTTTAATGCTTATTTTTTTCTAGTTCCAATTTGAATCCATGCTTCTTCCTCACAGCATTTTCTGTGTTACCTGAAAATGCAGGATGATTATGCATGCTGTAAATTGAACAACTGAAAATATAACCAAAATAATTAAGGAATTTTGTTTTTGTTCTGTGTCAGTCTCAAATACAGGAAAAGAGGAGTGGCATACCAAAGTCACCAAACTGAGAAAGATGGTAGATCAACTCTTCTGTAAAAAGTTTGGTGAGTACACTATTTTCTTTTCTTTATAGCTTTGTATTTCTTGAAGGTTGTATTCATTCCTTCCTTTGAACATCCAAGTGAATGAGACCTTTGATCAGGTTTTTTTTTCAAATATTTAAAATCCTAGCAGTTGAGTGAAAAAGAATGTTTTGGTTTACTGCTTATACAAAGTAAAGTCATAGTTTTAAAAAATAATTATAAGTCATATATACAGCTCTTCTGATTGCTCTCAATTCCCTCCTATTTGGATATTTTTCCTTTGATGGTGAATAAACTAGCCATTTACTTATTTATGTCCATTGCAGTATCATTAAAATTAGTATTAGAACATATCCAGGTGAATTTTTATATCCTCTCCAATATGAAAAATTAGTCAACTTCCTAAGAGCTAGAATAAAACGTTGCATAATGCTCTGTTATAGACTAAAAACTCTGGATAAAACCACTGTAGTATGCCTCAGTGAGCAATCCAGTAATCTTCAGTCTTGTATTGTGACTGCCCAGCAAGACCATCATGCAATATGGCAAATTTTTTACATTTTTGGTGTGCTGAGACTTGGATTTAGATGTCCTGCATTGTCCCAGGTTCTAAGATCACAACTGCAATAGCTTGAGTAATTGGTATCAACTAGCTTTTAATGAAGTTTGATTGCTGTCTAGTTACTGGATGTATTTTGTTCCAACAGCCAAGGCCTTGGGGAGCAGTGAGCCCAAAGTTGTTCCATACAAGAAATTTGAAGCTCATCCAACTGACCTCTATGTTGAAGGGCTGCCAGAAAACATCCCTTTTAGGAGTCCCTCCTGGTATGGAATCCCTTGCCTTGAACAAATAATTCAAGTGGGCAAGAGAATAAAATTTGTGATCAAAAAGTAAGTATTTGTTTAATTCATAAACCTTGAGGTTTTCTTAAAAAAGAGGCTAAGCAAACACCCTGTGTGTAATCAAGCACTTGATTTCATGAAGTCATGAAGCATTTGGTTTCTAGTTACCAAATAGGCAAATTAAATATTCTGCATTAAAAAGTGGGTATTTGCAATCCAGACAAGTATTCCAAAATACTTTTGTAGCATGTTGACAAGTGTGAAAAACATAATAGAAAAATTCAGACTCTTCAATTCATGTCATGATAGGTAGTAATATTTAATTTATGTCAAGAATAAGCAGATTATTTGTGTCCTTGTTGCAGACCAGAGCTGCTAACTCTCACTTCAACCGAAATTATTCAGCCCAGGTTGAACCCAAGAGGTAAGACAGGTGCTGTCTCCAAGTGGGAATGGAAGGGTTTGGTTTGGTGGATAAGTGCAGCATTTTTCAAGTAACCCTTGTGTGATGAGTGTGTTGGCATGTTCTTCATGGGGGCTGCAAGGAATAAATTGATCACTATGAACATGGATTGTGGGATCATGGTGCAGTCTACCTGTCTTTGAATAACTACACTGGGTCACCTTCACAGCCCCAGGGAACTGGAGTTACTGTCCTGGCCTGAATGAAAGCTCTGAAGGCCCTTGGCATTTCACAGCTGATCCTGAGCTCTTTTCAGGCCTCTGTTGGTAAGGAGTTGTAGGAGCTTCTTCAAAGCATGAAGTGCCTTAACAGGGGGGGAGAATCATTTTGGGGTTTATTTCCAAATGCCCTGAATTGGAGTGTATTGGCACTTTCTTGCTGCAGGAATATGCCATCCATATCTCATTGAGTTTTAGAGGTGTATGAATCTGCTTGTAATAATAACACAAATGGATATCCAGGGCTTCGTATGTTTTTCCACATACATAGCTCATGTGAAGGAGAAAAAAAAGGAATATGATTTAATAATCATGTAAGCGGTAGTTGTCTTATATCATCACAACGTATTGTGGATTTTATTTGGATTTTAGGAAAAAACTCATATTCAGTAAGTGGGTAGCTCAGTAGAAAAGGTAGGGTTCACAGAGCAGAGGAAAAGGCAGCATTGAGTCTGAGGTTTTTTCAAAGTCGTAACAGCAGGTGCCAGTGACAGCAGTAAAAAAACAGCTAATGACGTTCTCTCTGAAAGGTAAGTAGTGATGATGATTCTTAAACCTCAGACTGAATGTTCAGAATATTTTATTTTTTTTTACTGGTTATTTCACTGTATCTTTCACTAACTAATAAGTGATTATGGAATTACCAGTGCTCACAAAGCTTTCTAGGGTCCAAGGTTTGATATCAGACAGGCAAACACAGCAAATGTTCTCCTGGGCTTAAAGACCAGTGAAAACCACTTTCCCAGACAAAGACCGAGGATCTTCCTACTGTAGTTGCAAACTTGATGTTGCTAAAGAATATTAGACTTCTTTTAAGCAAAATATTATTCTTTTGCAAAATTAATCCTGTGCTCTCAACAGATAGTTTATGAATAACACTTCAGTGTTTTAAAGTAAATTACTCTAGTTGCTTTGCCACTGAGACTACACACATGCAGATTTTAAATACCTGTGAAATCTATCAAATAAGTAGGCCAGACTGCAAAAAATAATAATGCATCTTGCCATGGAAGTATAAGACACTAGAACTAAGCAAGTTAGGTAATTTCTGAGTCAAAAATAGGATTTGGAAACAAAAAATTTCTGTATAGCTTCCTTCCTGCATGCATTCCACAGCTTGGAAAGAATGGGTTTGACTCAGTATCAGTTATTTGTTATTTGTGGTTAGTGATGAAACGTGAAGTATGACGCCATTTGTTAGAAAAGAAGTGCTTTTTATACCACATCCTTTGCTTTCTTCTCTATCTAAGCTACAAATTGTCTGTGCTAGTTAGCACTCCTGTAATTGGCTTTTATTTACGATAGAGAATACGACTGAAGATGATTTTTTTATGCTAATCAAAATGTTTAGCAAAGCAGTCTTTAAATCCTCATCTTCTACTCTAAAGAGTATTATTTATTATACGCTATGATTAATTAATTCTAACTTTGTAAGAGCCACTAAAATAGTTTCTTCCTGCATCTAAAGGCTCTGAAAAACAAGTTCTCCCACTTGGGTCAGTGTTTGAATTTTGTAACTATATTTAAACAGATTTTCCATTATATAGAAGGAATTGCATGTAATCATTATTCATTGCGTATCCTTGTCTCCTCAGATGTGATTGTGTTGATAGTTTTCAAGTTCTTATGTTGTAAGAAATGTGTTCAAATGTACCTCTGTACCTAGAACTGAGTCATTCTCTGACATATCTATTTCTGGTTTTCAGAGAGAGAAGATTGGAATGCCAAGATCACAAACCTAAGAAACCAAGTAGAAGAGTTATTTAGTAAGAAATTTGGTAAGTTAAATGCTAAATGAACCGTTCTGTAATGCTGCTGCATTTTAAAACTCTGTTTAAACGTTACTGTATTTACTTAAGCATCAGAAATATACTAGGACAGATATGGAAATCTTGACTCCTCTTACCTATATTTTACTGACTTTATCCTGTAACTGACATAAATATTTTTATAGCAACATCCTAGGCCATAATTTTTCCAGTTGTGTGACAAGAGATGATGGTATGTGCACAAAAGCTTTTGGATGAAAAAAAGTTCTTAAAAGAAAATATTAGACACCGCAGGCTTAGATGTTACCTGTAACAAGATGGACCAAGTCCCCATTTGCAGTTATTCTACAGAAAATAATAGGAAATCTGTTTAAATCTATTTAGATATTTCTGTTGTTTGGGGTTTTTTATTAGCTCTGAGTAACAGAGCTTCTGTAAGCGAAGGTTAATAAAGTCACTTGAGATAAAATTCCACCCATTTGAGTGTGTAATCTATCATTTAATCTTTATTTTCAGGCCAAGCTCTGGGGATTTCAGAGATAGTGAAAGTTCCCTACGCTATATTTGAGTCAAATCCTGCACAGTTGTGCGTTGAAGGCTTGCCAGATGGAATCCCCTTCCGGAGTCCCACATGGTTTGGAATTCCACGCCTTGAAAGAATTATCCGTGCGAGTGACAAAATCAAATTTGTTATTAAAAAGTATGTTTGCAATTCAGTTATTTTTACTCATGATTTTGAAGTTATTTGATTTTATTCCCAGCAACTTTAGGCTTTAAATGCTACCTAAATTCTGGTTCCATGAAACAGAAAGACCATTTTGCACATATGTTTTGTCTCATAAAAGGACATACATTCCTCATTAAATTTCTGTAGATGTATAAATTGGGTGTTTCATGCATCAAGGATCTAGGGAAGGGGAAATGGTCTTGTACCTAGAAGCTTTTTTTCTTATTTTTCTTTTCTTTTTCTTTATTATTTTTACTTAAAATAGACTCAAAATAAAATTACAGATGAGAAAATGTAGCTTTATGGTTGGGTTTTTTTTTTTTGCTTACAGTAGAGGGAGAGTCATCTATGCTTCTAGCAGAATTTTATTGTAAAAAGCTGATGTTATGTGTGTTGGAACTCAACTGAATTCCAAGAAATGTTAACATTTTGCTGTATTATTTGACTTGTAATTGATCAGGTTGTGTTCTGTCCAACTTCTAGGCCTGAGCTTCTCAATTCCTATTTGTCTCGAAAACTGGCTAATAAAAAATACACAAAAGGTAAACAATTTGCTGCCATCAATTCCTAAATACTTGGTTTCTTCCCTAGCAGACTGAAAGATCTTTGTGGTTGAAAAATACAGGTGTTGCAAAAAAAGGGCATTAAGATGATCTAGCATAGTAGCCTGTTCAAATGCTATTATTTGAAAAATATAATCCATAAATTTATCTGTTTTTTTAAATTGACTATCCTAGTATGGAAAATGGAACTTACGCAATTTTGACAACTTTTATTTTGCTTTTAATGGCTTAAACCATATTTAACTGAGAGCTGTGAACTGCAGTAAGTAAAAATTATATTTTATGAGAAAAAAAAAAGTCCTTGAAGTTGCCTATAAAAAATTCAGATGTTAATAATTTTTTGTTATTTAGATAATAAAAAGTACCAAACCTGTCCTTCATCCTTAGAAACAATGAAGTCTTCTCTTCTGAATTAGTGGCATGAAAATTTAGCTATAATACCTGCCTTTTTCAAGAGCACTAAACCTACTTTTTAGGACTGTGAGCATCACTGTGTTGTTCAGGGTTTACAGTGTACTTAGTTCGGTCTGTTGGAATTTTTGGAATACAGCTGGTTTTTTTTGTTAACTGTGCAGGATATATATTGTAAAGGGTTTGTGCTTTACACCTTGTGTTCTCTTGGCTTCCAGCAACGAGTCCAGGGAGTTCCAAAAGGTCGCGAAGTCCTGCACGCAATTCAAATGTCCCAGAGATTGAAGTTACTGTTGATGGAAGTATGGAAGAAATATCATTAAGCATTCTTCTGATGCTCTTCTATTTTATTCTTCTTATCTTTTCTGTTCTTCTCAGCTTTTGTAGTCCATAAATAACTTGTACACCTGCCTCATGTAGCAAACTCTTTCATTTCAAGGCTCCAGATACACTTTAATATAGAAAGTTTTATTTTTTGTTTCTGAATAATACTGGATTCTGTGTAGATGATGCTTATGTGGAATGTTGGAATTTGACAGCTTGCTTGGCCCATTATTGCAAGCAGAGGTGTGGGAACTGACGTAGCCCATGGGCAGAGAAATGACAAATGTGATCAGTAGTATCAAATGCTTAAATACAATCCTACAAGAACTTCTTAAGGGGGTTTTTTTATTCTACTCTTAATTCAGAAGTTAAGATTTCTCTAGTAATCAGCTTTGATGTGTTGTTTTTGTATGATGTCTTGCTTCTGCTCTCTGCATGTATATATGTAATGTCTCTTCACAGGTCCTGATAAAACACAAACAACAAGGACTCAAACTAATTCTCAAACCAATGGCTCCAGTATAAATTTCAAGCTACAAGGAAAAGACTTCTCTTTTCGTAAGTGTTGTGGGAATTGGCACAGATGCATTCTTTTAATATTGGTATGGAACATTCTGATTACATATCAGATATTTCACATTCGTGTTGTGTTGTACAGTTAGTGAATGACTGAAGCTCTTGCTTTCACATACATTCAGTTCTTCATCATGTGGAGTAATAATATGCATTAGAAAAATCCTAAATGATGTATGGAGAATGCAGCACAGGTCCGTTAGATCTTTGGGTTTGGTCAGGCCCGTTAGGATTTTGCTGGTCTTTACTGCATGATGCTTCAGACCCTTGAAGGACTTTTCTGGTGCAAAGTACCACCAAAGTGCATAAACCCAGCTAAGATCTGATATAGTGCATAAATTTCATAAGCACTCAACAAATCTGAAATATTGACATCACTGTGGAGGCATACCATTCCTGTAGGAACCAGGAAGGATTTGAACAAACATTGGTAAGCCATGCTCTGTCAGAGCTAGTTATGCATGACTGCCTAGTCCAAGTTTGTAAAATCAATAAAGGAAAAGCTGGACAGGACTGGAAGCCATATAGTTGTGTTCCTGAGTGTTGGCTGGAGCTTTTTGGGCTTAAAGGCCCAGACCTGTCTGTGCAGTACTCTGGCACAGGAGTCTCTGTATTGAAAGCAGCATCAATTTGCAACTCAGATAAATTCTTTGTAGTCAAATAAGATGAGTGCACTCAGAGTAACTGTAAGCAATTCTGTCTCAGTAAACCTTTTTTTCAGCATCCTTACTTTTATACACATATATATATATATATATATATATATATATATATATATACAAAAGTTTGTTGTTATTTGCTTTTTCTTTTTTGTCCCACATGCTTTCTTTTTAGCGTTATGGTCAAAAAATGTGAAAGAAAGGAATACTTTACTCCTACTGAGCCAGTTGAGAAAGCATATAAGATACTGATTTGGAATGACTGCTCCTTTTGACATGGGTGTTATTCATACTCAGAGCTGTGTTCAGTTTTTTTGGACTTGCTCGCTATTGCTAGACCTAGGCTTTTTTTTTTTTTTAACTTTAAACTGAGTTTTTAGTTTTGTAGACCAACCATAGACCACTTAGTGCAGCCTCAAGTAAAAAGCACCCAGGGAATGGCATGAATTTATGTCAGGGGAGATTTAGGTTGGATCTTAGAAAAAGGTTCTTCCCCCAGAGGATGGTTGGGCACTTTGCAGACTCCCCAGTGCTCTCTCAGCACCAAGGCTGACAGAGCTCAAGGAGCATTTGGATGATACTCTCAGGCACGTTGTGTGACTCTTTGGAATAGTCCTGTGCAGGGCCAGGATTTGGACTTGATGATCCTTGTGTGTCCCTTCCAACTCAGCATATTCTGTGATTCTGTGACTGTAATTTCTCTGATGGCTGTCAGAAACAAAATGTTTATCTTGATGGACATCTGATTTCACCCACTGAAGTAGAAACTGGGCTAGAGATTATAGATCTCAGGAGAGAGGTGTGCGTTTCAGAGCTGTGTCACTGAACATGTGAATAGTTTTCTGCCACTATTTTGGGTGGTGGTTCAGATGAGTAAATTTTATACTGCCTAGTACTGTAAATTTAGATCACTCTTGGATTAATTTTAATAGCCCTTGCTTTATCTCATAGCACTATCTTTCAAAGCTTCAGGAAAATGAGGATTGATGTGAATATAGTTTTGCAGAATGAAAGCCATTTTGCACATTTTACTGCCATGGTAAATCAGTTATCAAACGTAATAATTTATTAAGCATTTTTTAAAATATTCTTTGAAGACTGATTCATTGTGTGAGCGTTGATTTAATTCTTTCAATTTCCTCCTGGCAGAGGCATGGAATGCCAAAATTAGTGACTTAAAGCAGAGAGTCGAAGATCTTTTTAATGAAAAATGTGGTAAGTTTATTGATTCTTTTTTACTGAGAAGCCTTTCTTATGAACATGCAGTTAGATTTATGAGAGATGTTCACGTTTATTCCAGAGGTCCTGCAATTCTTGTGTGCCCTACACAGTTTCCCATCTGCGTTCATTCTCATGTACTTGCTTGCAATCCTGTGTCTCATTTCCACTATTATTTTATTTGGATTTGGAAATGGAGAAGTTGTAGCTGGGTTATGAATTTTTTAATGACCCACAGATACAGTGATCCACATCCTGACACATCTTTTTAAGCTTTCTTCACTCTGCTTATGAATGGGACTTTGTATGACTCTGCAGGACTCAATGCGTTACGGATCGTATCTGGAGAGGCGTGCACTGTCGTATTCCAGCACTTCCTCTAGTGCAGACTGTTTGGAAACTAATGAGTTTTGGAAGTAATGATTTCTGATTACTCTTCTGAGTGCAGGTTTTTGAACAAGAGCACTAATCTCACTGCCCTTAGTACTGTTCTCTAGAAGAGGCAGAGACAGAATGCATGGCTTGTAACAAAGTGAGATACATATGGGATAGTCTCGTATGCAGACCAAGCCAGTGGCATGAACTGGCTACCAATTACTAATTTTCAGTAAATCATGATGAGATTTACTGCTACAGAATGAGTTATGTTTGAAACTGTTAATTTTCTTTGTGCCTATTCATAGCTGTCACCAAAAAAGGCAAGCCTACTGGTTCTGCCTAATCTAGTTATATATGTGCCAACTATGCTATACCATTTATACCAGAGGTTTTCTATTTCTATACACATGAGTTACCTAACTGGTAGCTTATTTGCTCTGTTGCATTTCAGGGGAAGCGCTAGGACTCAGTAAACCAGTGAAGGTGCCATTTTCACTGTTTGAATCCTTCCCGGACGTTTTCTACGTGGAAGGACTACCTGAGGGGGTACCTTTCCGCCAACCTTCAACTTTTGGAATTCCAAGACTAGAGAAGATCCTGAGAAACAAATCTAAAATAAAATTCATTATTAAAAAGTAAGACTCCCATATATGTCTTTGGTAATCTGTTCTATGAGTATTGAAATGTAGACCAAAAAATGAAATTGTGTTGGGAAGTTGCTGAATTACTCTATAAAATACACGCTGGAATATATTTAGTAATTGAGGAAATGGCCAGAAAACTCTTGTAGAGGTAGAGCAAGATACAATACTCTCTTTGTTCTGAAAGACTCTTAGAGGCTGTTGTGAGAGGAAGAACAAGTCCAGATTTCTTAGCTCATTACAATTATCACATCACTGGTTTAGTTCCTACTGCAGGGAGCACTTACAGGTTACTCATAAAGCTTGCTGGCTGTGTACTAAGAGCTGAGAAGTGGAGATTCATATAGTGGGGTGTGTTAAGAATTTTCTTGTCTAAAACAGGTTTGGATAGCCATGTGCCAGTGTCGAAACAGTGGCAAGAGAAGTTACAAGGGCATGTAGTGATAGAAAAAGGAGGAATGGCTTTAAATTGACAGGGCAGGGTTAGACTGGATATTAGGAAGAAATTTTTCCCAGTGAGGGTGGTGGTGAGGCCCTATCACAGGTTGCCCAGAGAAGCTGAGGATGCCCCATCCCTGGAAGTGTCCAAGGCCAAGATGGATGGGGCTTGGAGCAACCTGGGATAGAGGAACATGTCCCTGCCCATGGCAGGAGGTGGAAGTGGATGGGCTTTAAGGTCTCCTCCAACCCGAACCATTCTGTGATTCTAAGAAGTTATGGAGCCTCTCAAGTCATTGCATTCTTGACCATCGGTTTGGCTGAGAGGATATCACTTAGTTCCTGTCTTTAATAAAATAATACTAGAAAATTACATTTTCTTTAATGTTGATGATGTAATTTTATTGTTGTACATGAAATGTTGGATCTGTTTGCAGGCCTGAGATGTTGGAGGCAGCTGTTAAAGAAAGTTCTGCTAGAAACCCCTCAAGTGAGTTTTGCAACTGTTTCATGTTCTATGTAACAGTTTCTTTCAAGGATTAAATATAGATTATAAAAACTGTATGGTGTTAACAAATTCCTGAAAGATTCATTCTACATTGGAGTTGCTTGGTTCGTTTGCTTGATTGATTGTTTTTAAGATGGGAAATGCACTTACCAATCACAGTTTAAATATAGTTCTAGCAAGGGAGTATTAATTTCTTAAAGTTATTCACAATAATCATGCATCTGATGTATTCTTTACTGTTTTTTATCAAAATGTAGCCAGCAATATATGATTCACAGGAGTAATTCTGGTCTAGAGATAAATTATTTGCTCATAATATGTAGGTCATCTAAATGACAAATGCTTAAGAGATGGGCATGCAGGTAGCCAGTAGAAAATTGTGTCAGGTAGGTAGGTGGGTCTTGGAATAAATGCTCCTATTTTGAAGCTGGATTCTCTTTGAAAACTTTGCCAATATCTGTTGTTTTGCAATATTTTCTTTATCTAAGAGATTGAAAATTTTGAGTTCTCTGTAAATGTTTTCTGAATTAGTCCTTTTACGGAAAACTAATTCATCTGATGTAGCCAATACAACAAGAACCACAACAAACACAGTGGTGAACACAACCGCTGGTGCTGAAGACCTGAACATGATTCAAGTAACTATACCAAGTGTCTATACTGGCTGGTTTCATGTCATAATATTTGTGCTTATATTCTTCATGACATTTGTTTTGTTCAATGAAGTTTTTCCTACTGTCCGGCTGGTTCACTGAAATGCAAGTACAGTCAACAAAGAGCATAATTTAGCATTTTGTTTTTATCGAGGTGTTAAATATTTTCTAACACTCATTAATATCTCTTCAGTCACATCTTTAGAATATTCTTGGTCCAACAACTAGTTAAGAAGTATTCACATTTTTCTCATGCAATAAATGAAATACTGATTTGCAATTCTTGGCAAATTCAAGAGGTCAGTACTCAGACTGAACTGAATAATCACTCAGACTGAACTGCTTGGTCTTAACACTGATTACTGCTTTCTCAGGCATATAGTACATCCATTGGAATTCACTGGAAACCATGAGAAATGGCCATCTTATTGAATGGTCACTTTGCTTTTGCCTTTCCCCACCATTCTATGTTCTTTAAGAAAATAAAATACAATTTGTTGGTTCAGATTAAGTTTACAAAATCATCTCTAGACAGTAAACCTAGGTTTATCCCTAGAAGTGTCCAAGGCCAGGTTGGACGGGGCTTGGAGCAACCTGCTTTAGTGGGAGGTATCCCTTCCCATGGCAGGGGGGTGGAACTGGATGAGCTTTAAGGTCCCTTCTAAACCAAATCATTCTAGGATTCTGTGATTTCTTAATAACCATCTATTTTTGTGTATTTCTACAATTCTGTGTTACTGATAAAATGAGGAGCAAAGACAGCACCTGTTTTGAAGCCTTCAGATGTATCTGCTTTAAGTAAATACGCAGGGATAAGCAAGCTTCAGGGGTAAAAAAATTCGTGCTTAATTCTCATGCTATTCTAACAATTTCTTCCAGATGACAGTGAGCGACCGTCAAAAGTAGAAAAGACCAGACAATTGAGAGAGCAAGTAAATGATCTTTTTAGCCAGAAATTTGGTAATTGCTTCTTACTCCCCGTTTTTACATAGGTGTGGGTGTAATAAATGTTGATACGGAAGTTACTGAATGAGTATTCACTTACAGTGAATTATATATGTGATCATTAAAATGAACAAATTTGAGAATTGTATATGAATGTTGTGCTTTGACTTAGAAAAGAATCTTTTGTAAGTGATGTAGGTAGCTTTAAACAATAAAATCATAAGAGTCTAGATTGCTTCATGGTTCCCCTCCCCTTTCCTGTTTCTTTCTGTGTCAACATGGATAAAGTATTTATTTTGCATGGTTCTTCTCAGGGCTTCATAATCCCAAACTCATAATACTTGGGAATAGAGTAATTTTAAAAATGCAGCATAAGCTTTTTGCTGTGTATAGTTTTGTTTGGATTTTTTACTTTGGATTGTACAGCAGTAATGACCTGAGTTTCTTTATCTAAAATTCCTTCACTTGTGCTGTGTTGAATTGCTTTTCATGGCCTTGCAGGAAATGCTTTGTTTTCCTTCATGTAGTTATTTCCTTTTATACCACGTTCTATACTTTTTTTTAGTAAAAGCAGAATCTGTGTTCTTCATATGGTGAGCAGTCAGAGTTGGAATTGTGACTAATGTTCATGAATGTAATCCAACACCTCTATTTCTTTCATTGTCAAGTGAATGTTCATAATTTCAGATCTGATAGAAAGCTTGGGTTTGCATTGTGTTTGTTAATCATCTGAGGACTTTTTTCTTCAGTGTAGTCATAAATATTATAAGGTTTGAAAATAAACATGACCTCTCTCACTTAGGTGAAGCCACTGGTATGAATTTTCCTGTGAAAGTTCCATACAGAAAAATCACTACCAACCCTGGGTGTGTGGTGGTGGAGGGGTTGCCTCCCGGCGTGGTGTTTAAAGCGCCCAGTTATCTGGAAATCAGCTCGATGGAGAAGATTTTGGAATCAGCAGAACTTATCAAGTTTACTGTCATTCGGTATGTAGTTGCTGTTGATTAGATTGTGCAGGTGCTGTGAGCACAGCCCTGTAGCTGGAATAAATTGAAATGTGAGAGAATAGAAGTAGCAGTGCATCTTTAAATAGTGAGAGGTTCTTTTGGATAACAATATATCAGGTCAAATAAAGTCCAGATGTTTCTAGCATGAATGAAGTCCAGAGCTTGTTGGCTCTTAACAGTAAATAGTATATTTGTATTAGTATTACTATTAGTATTTTTAAATATTCCAGTTGTGTTAAGAATCTTGAGTTCAGGTAAATTCTTTGATAATTTTTTCCCTACAAAATGAGCATATCTACAGGATTTTAAAATACAGTATTGTCCAATTACAGTATAACGGAATTTCATTTATATGTGTATATTTCCACAGATGTATATAAAACACACATATATACAAAGTTAATTTGTATGCATGAAGCAGAATAGATGAAACTTTTGAATCGCACTAAGGAGGAGTTGAAAATAAAAATGTATCAGTTTATGTAACTCCTCAAATCATAGTTGACTTTGTAGGAGTCTAAAAGTTTCAGTTTATCTTTAGAGAGAGAAATTTCTTAAATATATTTTACTAGGGGGTCTGAATTCTCAGCCCTTAATCATGACATGTTCTAACCAAACATGGTACTTTGATGTGTGTTGTTGAATGAAGCTCTAGAGAAGAGATGACCCCTTGTTAACTAGTGGTGACCAAGGGAAGGGTTTAGCTCTTCCTTTGTGTGTTACTTTTCAAAACACTAGTTTTGAACAACCACAGCGCCCAAGAGCTGCTATTCCATCTGTTTTATTTGACTTTGTTTTTTACTTTTAGCATGACCTCTGTTACAGAAAGTGTGGGGAGGTTGCACTGGGAGGACACCCCATGCAGTGCCTTTTAGAATCAGTAATTTGTTTTGTTTTTTTTTCTTTTTCAGACCGTTTCCAGGACTTGTGATTAACAATCGTAAGTATTTATGAGACACTGATGACAAATGTATTTTTGTAACCTACCAAGATTAATTTTCTACATTGTGGCTTAGTGACAGAGGTTCCATAGTCATTAAGGTCTCAGTATAACTGTCTGTGTCTTTCTTATTAAGATTTTCTGAGTAATCATGCATATACAGTTAACTTGAGGGCATGGGGGTAAATTTACATTTAAACAGTGTAAGATCAGCATAACTTTCATATGAAAATGCAAGACACTGAGTTTGTATTTTTCAGCTGCAGAGTACCAAAGAGATTTAGGATCCTGACCTAGCAACAGACTTACACGTTTAGATCCATCACAGTAGCTGTTAGTAAGCAAGAACTTTACAGTAGCCGCACAACCCTGTTCCAGTGAAAAATTCTGCATTCTGCTGAAACGGTAACTGTTTAGAGAGGCAAATGTACTTAGCTGAAGTGCCATGGCCAATTTGTCAGCATGTGCTGGGGCTGGGGGAGCAGGCTGGTCATTGACCGTGTGGGGTTTGGGCATTATCTGTGTCCACTAATTATGATCAAAATGATCTTATACTGATGGATACCAAGGTGAATGAAAGGCTCTGAGCCTACTGCTCATAGGTATGATGCTTTATTCTTCATATGAAGAATATGTGGAAACTTGAAATTTTTGGTGCTTGCAGGTGAAATAGGGAACGTTTTTTCTGTAACAATATACTGAACAGCAGCTCAATCACAAGTGTTAGTAACTTGTTCATGTGACAAGTTTCAGGATTTGCAGATTCAAAGGTTGCCCTTGTGTTACGTGTGAACCATTTTCATTGTGAAGTTAAACGGTGATCATGTCTAATCTTAGATCTGATGGAAAAAGCTGAAGCAGAAGCATCACCAACAGCAACAGCCCCAGGACTACCAGGTGATGCAGAGCATGACGTATGTCCTTGCAGGAGGGGTGGGTTATGGAGTTCTCCAGCTCATTGGTAGATGACATTAATAGTCAAGTCCTGGGTATACACTGCTCATGATGAGCCATATCATTTTGATAGATTGTGTGCAACAGGGACTTTTGTAGCTGTTAAATATTAATAATTTAATGGGAAGAGCCTCTACTTTCTTCGAGCTTTGTCATTGGTATGTTCCTTGATTTGATTTTTGCAGATGATGAGTGAGCTGAAAAGAAGGATTAGTGGGGGCAATATATAAAGCCAATTCGGTATCCATTTATTGATGTCTTCTTAACTCAAATGTGTGCATGTCTGAACCAAATAGATGTTCAGCCAAGTGAAGTTTGCCTGCATAACTGGCAATGGGGTCTGGATGGAATTTCTGCCTGCTGCAGACCTGTAACTCATGCTAGACTGTGTCTGGACTGCACACATATCACCTGTCTTAGTCCGAAGGGAGAACTCAGCTTTGTACTATTAATAACTGGAGTAAACATGGTTGAACAACTTCATTTTGATCCAGTATAGCTTTTAAATGTTCACAGACCTTTTAAAACTGTGTATCCCAAGTTGGTATAGTGTGGGAAAAACTTTTGCAATTGACTGAATAAACCATTACAGGAAGAAATTGGGAAACGAAGAGAAAACATTATGTAAACATTTTAAGAGTAAGGGACACTTGTATGATGAAAATTATTATAAAGGAAACTACTGGCTCATCTTTTTATATGTGAAGGTGTGGGAGGGAGGAAATCAGCTGCTGATGGTCTATGCGGTTGATGTAGTCTGTCTGTCCTTAACTCAGCTGCAGTGTTAAAAAGGTTAAATGGCTTTCCCAGAACCTGTTCATTTATAAACCATGCAGAGATAATAGAAAACTCATCATGGAATTAAAACATACTTCTTGTCCTGTATTCTGCATTTTCCCACTCTCCCCCAATACTCACCATCAAAGACAGTGTTCATCAGGACTGATGACTCTTTTTTCAAGCTGCTCTGAACGGGGTGTATTCTGTGCAACTGCACATTACATTGTGCTGCAACTTGGTGGTATGTCTGTCAAGGTAAACCATTCTTTGAAGAGAAAGTGTTAGGTAGTTGAATGTAATAAATGTTTGGGATTGTTTATAATTTGCTGCAGACTGTAGAAAGTTACACAAATTTATCTCAGACAAAAAGATACAAGTCTGATTGTTAAAACAAAAATTAGTTGCTTTTTTTCAGGGAAAACTTAATTTCCCTAATCTGATTCATCATGTTGAAACTATATTCATATTCATTTGACTGTAATGTTTTCATTTAAGAGCCAGCTGAAACAAGCGGAATAGAAGTATCTCTAGGAGGTAAGTGTTCTTCAGTTATTATCAACAAATATTTTTAAGTAGTGTTGAACAAAGTTTACCTTTTTTTTTGAAGTCAGGTCTTTTATTGGTTTCCAGGACATTTTTTCATCTATATTAATATCATGCTGCATCATGGGAAAAATAGTCTGTGCAAATGTTATTATTCAAGTAATTTTACAAAGGAGTTTTATGAACTGTTGTTCACTTGAGTCATGACGATAGGCTCTGAGTGATTGTTCATATCCTGAGTGATGCATCTAATTATTCAGTGCAGTAATTTCCACAATTGATGCAAGTGAGTGATTGCCATCATCAGGAACTCTGAATGCCGTATTGATATACCATGTTGAGGGCAAGGGAGGGGAATATTGTTGTTCTTCCAGAACTTAAGCTCTGAAAAACATCCAGCTTTCCTATTGTCCAAGAATATACTTGGGTTGTTTCTGTTTCAGATAGGATCATACAATCATTTAGGTCGGAAAAGCCATCTAAGAACATCAAATCCAAGTGTTCCCCCAGCACTGCCAAGCCCACCACTAAACCGTCTCCCCAAGTGCCACATCCACACGGCTTATAAATCCCTCCAGGGACGGTGACTCCACCACTTCCCTGGGCAGCCTGTTGGAGAGCTTGACAACCCTTTTGGTGAAAAAATATTTCCTAATATGTTTATATATGTGAGACTAAGAAGGCTGTAGATTTTGTATCCCCCCCTGTGCTTTTGCATGTGGTCTTCAGGAATACAGAATTGACATGAGAGTTGGGATGCTGGTGTCTGCTGTGTGCCCTGCTCCTGTAAATGTTGCCTTTGCTATACCCCAGTCTGTCAGGCATGGCCCTGGACGGCCATGCCTGCCTCTGCTGTGGCTGGCACAGAGGATCTGAGGTGCTGTGGTAGTTTGCCAGGGTGCTGCCTTCATGTCAGGTGGTCCTGAGAGGGGCTCTGTGATGTGTCCATGGCAGCTTGATGGCAACATAGCCAACAGCCCTGGAACGGAGCCTGCTGTGCATCAGCACTTTAAGACTCTCAACTTCAATTCATTCCCTAATCCTGCTTATGTGGCCCCAAAAAAGAAAGCAGCAAACCTCAGCACTCCTGTTTTTCTGTACCCTTTTCCATGGAAATGCCCTTTCCAATCTCCATTGCTTCAGTTTCCCTGTCATGTCACTGAACTCTGAGCCAAGCCAACATGCTCAACCAGAATGACTGTTACAAGCTCAGCTACAGGTTCACTCCGAGGGTTTTACAGTCTTTCTTGGAGTATGGATCAACCCTGTTGCAGCAGTCAAGACAGAAGGAAGGCAAGCATTAGAGTCAGAGCAGAGCTGAGCTCCAGATTTTAAGCTCACAGTTACTGAAAGCTGGAACATCAGATAACTTAATAATGCCAAAACTCTGTGGGATCGCCAAAGTTAGATGATGAGGGAGAAGGACGCTTATTCCTGAATACTGTCATGTGGAGGAATTCTAGCTGTGGGCCTTCGAAATGATAGTTTGGAAGAGACAGACAAGGGTGTTTTTGAATTTGTCACCCAAAACTGGATTCAGACCCTGTAACTAGAGAAATATTTTTGTGAAAAGGCATATGATTGATAAAGAACCCAAAATCACTTCAGAACTAGGCTGGAAGGTATAAAATGATTATGTGGTGAAACAGCTTGGCTTTGTAGTGATGAATTATCCTCACCCCAAACCTTCCAAACAACTTCAGGGAAAAAACAATTTCCTTCCAACATCATATTCTCTGTTTATAAAAAGAACAGAATCAGGCTCCAGGTCACATATCCAGTGCTATACAGGTACAAGATTCTTTTGAGTTACTTCCAAGCGTCCCTGAAATGAAAAACCTGTTTCAAAAGATGATAAATGCTTTAGTCAACAAGATAAAATTTGGATTTTTTTTTTAAACATACCATAATACCTTCCCGTGGAATACTGTTCTTTGAAGAAGAAAATTAGCTAGGGCCAGAATTTGTTTTGGACAGATTGAAATAGAAAAATGCATAAGTCTGTTTCTAATTGAGACAAGTCCTACTAATGCCATTGTATTTCCGTTATTTAAAAACTAGAGTTCTCTAAGATCCTAGGCTGCTTTACATTGAAGTGGAAATGGTAATTTCTAGAGTCAGATTGCTGTGAATACATTTTTATTTATCATTAATAGTTTAAAGGGATAATTAATGCTTTTCATGCTTTCATAAAGTTTTCCTTATTAAGTACAACCACAAAATTGGTGGGGAAGTTCCCCTTTTCTTCATTCATTACTGCTTTTTCAACAGATAACACAGAAAAAGAAGAAAATTCTCAAATAAAACAAGAACCACACCCAATAAAGCAAGAACCACACCCAATGTCGTAGACATCACCAATACCAGGTAAAAGAATTTAGTGTTTTGTGAAGGCAGCGCCTGTCAAGGAATAGTATTCTTATACTTTTGGGGAGGAGAGGGTACAACACTCAATGTCAGAAGGTGCCAGTCCTTTTCTTGTGAATTATTTTATCTGTCTCAGTTCTCACATATGAAGTGCAGGATGTTTTCACTTTCTTATCCAAATACAGTGTAAAGCACACTGTGTTCAAATTTCAGAGACAGTCAGTCCTAGAAAAATGTGACCTAAAAATAAAAATGTGTAATAATTATGTACCTGGGAGGCAGAGCAACTGAAAGCAGAGGGAATTAGTGTTTATGAAGAGCTCTGACATGGTTGTGGGAAAGAGCATTGTTGTTCTTGGTAACACCCATATATTTCCAAATCATAATTGAACAGAAAAGCTCTTCACTATTTTTGCAGTATTGTCTGAGCTTGGGACACTCAGTAAAGCTATTAGCTTTGATGACAAACAGATCTCCTTTAGAAGTTTTCTTTCTTTTGCATTAACTTATGAAAAGCTTAGTTTAATTTACAGTGCCAAAATGTTCAAGTCCGTCTCTTACACTATTTTTAACGTCACTTATTCTTAAAAATGACATTTTTGTGGCGATGGAGAACAGTGATAGTGATGCTGTTACATCACTGAGTTTAAAATGCTGACCCACATGTTTTTGAGTCTCTGTGCTTCATTCAGAGAAAATGGTAGTACTTCTTCCCATTTCAGTTTTTTGATAATACTTGAAACCAGATATTTCCCTCATAGTGTGGTATTTGATACTTCAGCAATTTGATTTGATTTCATCTAACATAAAGTTAGATGAAGCAGTGGCTGGGGAAGCCTGGAGCCTGTGGGTTTTACTCCTGGCACCATCCAGCTTTTTGGAGACCAGGGACAGCCTTGGCCATGGCCCTCCATCCATGCAGCATGAACACAGCCTGGGGCATGAAAGGCTGCTGGTGGCATTGGGACAATGAAATGATGTGGTAGAAAGTGGCAGGCACTGACAAATCAGCATTCCAATTGTCTATGCCCTGAGCATTTCAGGCACAGCAATGGTGGTCTTATTAAATCAGTAAAGTCTGCTTTGTGGGTATTTGTCATAAAACTGAATGTGGCAGGAGAAAATATACTAAAGAAAAAGTTCTGATTTGTCATGGGAAGCACTGCAGTCAGTGAGATATATAAAACCCTCCCACTTGTCCATTAAAGGTGACAGAAATGTTGTCCGAGCAATGGCTACACAATTGGATGCTGCAGTGGTTTGGATTTTAGATGCTTTAGGCCATCCACTGAATTTGTACTAAAGTAAATATTTGTTCTAAATTCTTACAGAGACCACTCACACACATTTAATCTCACATTTATTGAGAGCAATACTCAACTTCTGCGCGCTTGCGGAATCTAGGCCTAAAGTACTGGACAATGCAACACAAACTGCTCATAATTGTAATAAGATCCAAAGCTGCAATGAAACTAACTCACTTTTGTAACTTTTCTTACCTTGTCAGAAGCATCCGGTTCTGAGAAGAGCCTGCTGGGCCTGTCTAGAGCTGTGTAATATAACTGTATAAGAAAAGTATCTTCAATTCAAACCCTTTTGTATAAGAGAAATACCTTCTATACAAACCCTTTTGTATTTTTAAATATAAATGTGTACTTTTTCAGCAGTTCTGTGAATTGACTTAAAGCAAAAAATGACTGTAGATTTGGAATGGCTGGTTTTACTTTGGAATATATTTTAAGAACTAAATATGATGCAGCAATGCTGGGGAGATGATAGGTATTAAAATGATTATGGACTTAGCTGAGGCTGTCTACATTTCCCAATACAGCTAAATTTCACCATACCTGAATGCATCTCAGCTTTTTTAATGAGGAAAAATTTCTGTAAAGAGTTCACTTTTTTTACTTTGGAAGAAAAAAAAAATCATTCATTTTCAGTTACTATTTTAATGGTTGATTGGACAATAGTATCTGCATATTTGAACTAATTTTTCCTGTCATACCTGTCACAATTTATATGTTTTTCCTAAATAAAAGATAAACTGTTTCATTTGATGATTAGTACTCATTAATGAGATGGACTGTGAAATGGTCAGTATTTCAGTGTTAAACCTTGTTATAGTTTCTTCCGTTAATTCAAAGTAGTAAGTGCATGTTTTATCAGAGTATCACAAGTTTATATATGATGAGTTTGGTCTTGCAGTCCTACTGTAGGCAATAGTCCTGTGGATCTGTGTGAGAGCTTTTCTGAAGGCTGTGGGGATGCCTTTCTGTTCATCTAGAACTAGTTATGGAAACATGCTACAAGCTGCTCTAAGTCCTACTATGTCAAAAGCTCAGGATATTCTGTGATTCTGTGACTACAACAATCAGTTGAAGTCCCCTGTAGTCCTGGTTACGCCCCACATCGTGTAAGAGACTAATGTACTTTTTTTTTTTTAAAGTTTCACAAGCCATAAGACATGTACAGTTCTGGCTGTATGATAATCTCTAAAGATGCAAGTTATTCTAAAGGTTTCTCTTTTACTGGAATGAGCTTAGGATGACTGCATTTTATGCACAAATGGTAAACTTTATTCCCTGATGAAGAAATAAAGACTTTCCTGATGGTTTTCATGACTGTCCATGCAGTATACATTTATGTATTTTACAACAAGTCCTAGCAATAATTCTGTAGGCAGGTAGAACATGCTGCAGCACAGTTACTTTCTTCCAGCAAAGAGGTAAGGTCCTGTCATGCCTTTGAGATAGAAATCCAGCTCTGGGTGGGTGAGGTGGTTGTATCTTCAAGGAAAATTTTGAAGCCTTAAATTCATTTGAGTAGAGTGTCTATTCCCTGGAAGCAATCTGAAATGCAGCAGATAAATTCAGAGCAGCACATGCTTGTGTTTTCACAATTGCTCCATGCAGATCTAGGTGCTCCCACTCAATTCTGGGACCTTGTGCTGGTGATGTCAGCAGGGGGCAAGGTTGGCTTTGTGCTGAGGCATTTTGAAAACACACATCCTGTCCGACCTTCCTGCTCTCCAGCTGGTGGTGCCTAGTGCTGAGCTGCCTTCCTGCCTCAGCAGACAGCCCCTCCCAGCCCCATGGAACCAGCCAGTTGGTGCACCTTGTCTGCTAACCCAGCCTATGGGTACTCTCCACATTATAACCACTAACACATTTGCCTGCTGATGACTCAAACAGAAAGGCTCAGTTAATGAACCTGCAGCAATAGGTCAGGATCAAGTTTCGCACTTGCTGCTGGACACATTCAGAATGAGGAAATGAGCTAATGCAGCTTTCTCTGGGTTTCAGCTGGCTTGACTTCCCCTTCTGAAAAAGCAGAAGGACAGTCCATCCCTTCTTGACACACAGCCCTCTTTAAGAGGCACATTTTGCACAGCTGCCTGTGGAGCAAGGCTGTCTATTGCTGATGGAGTTTAAAGTGTTTACTCAAAGTGAGGGCAAGGTATCACAGCAAAGGAACCGGGAAAATAAATAATTCCAGGATATTGCCTTGTCAAGTGTATAATATCAGAGTGGTCCTCTTACAACTTTGTATGCAGGACCTGAAAAAAAAATTAAGTGAAAGGGGATGCAGTGGTTTTACTGGAAGGACTAGAGTCCTTGTATGATGCTGGGAGTTGGAGTGGTGGTGTGCATCATGTGTGGCCTGCTGCTGGGCGTGCAGTAATGCTGATGGGTGTGTTGGCACTCAACGCTGAAGGCTCATTTTGGTCTCAGACATTTTGAGTTACATCCAGTAGAGGTAAATTAGACTGACAAAATAATTGCACCAATATTTATACCTTCCAAATATCAATTTTATATTAAGAAATTACCTACCTCTAATCCTAACAGCAGACTTTTAAGATGTTGACTGTGAAAATCTCACTCATTTTCAAACACATGAGATATGTCACTCTTTAGGTGTTGAGTGATAATGCCCTAAAAAGCCCTGGTTGTACTAATAAACAAACAAATAAATAAAATTGCAACCACTTACCAGACCTCTGACTGGTTTTTGTTCCAGCATGAAAGGTTTCTGTTGACAAAGAAGGAGACAAGTATTTATTCCCTATGTTTTACTGAACTTTAAAAACCTGTCCTGTGCAGTGGGCTGGCTCCTTTCTCTTAAATGGGAATTTTAGATCCAAGTAGTCAGTATCCAGGATGTCCATGGCGAAACTGGGCATTTCTCGGTTACGGCACCCTGGCTTTTCTCACAGCGTAACAACCAGTTTAAGTCCAGCACCTCTGTGGTGCAGCTGCTGGCCAGTGTTTTTCCCTTGGGAATTAAAGTTTTCCACATACAAAACTTGAACCTTTTCTCCTTTGTTTCTTTCTGTATCTGTCCTGTCAGAGACCCACTGTCAAGGAAGAGGGCAGGCTCTTGTTTCTGTGATTGTGTAACAGCTGTCTGCCATCAGTGACGTAAGCAAGGCCTCCCTTGGCTCTGTATTGAATTAAGCTGAAATTTAAACTACCAAAAATAAAAAATTACATTTTGAATACTGAGTTACAGGTGGTGTCTTCCTGTGAACTAACCCATCACTGGCATTTACAATCTCTGTTTCATTTCTCACATCACAAGATAAGAAATGATGAAACAGGAAGAAACGTGAATTGCGTGGTTTCCAGTAATGTACTGTCTGTAACAGAGTTTTAAATTTAGAAATAAGCTTTCATGACAGTTTGTGGTGTTCTCCATAAGCAGCAGCTATCTGGTGACTAACAGAGCAGAATCCAAACAACCCTGGAGGGGCCTTTTTTAATATATGTGGTTGTATAATTTTGCCTTGCATACAGGGAAGTCCCCATGTTAAAATAATAGGAAGCCAAATGTAAATAACCATGTTTCTGAACTCCACAGATGCAAAGCACCACACCCAAGGGCCAGGGGGAACTTATGGTTAGTATTTGATGTTTTTAATGCAGACAGAGCAAGCTTTTGTCTTTACAGCTAATAAGGCCACCGGGCTGATCCTGTGGCAGGGCTGGTCAGTGAGGAGAGCCCCTGTCAGCTCCACCATGGTTTGGGGCTGTTGCCTGCCAGGATTGGGCAACAGCGGTGCTGCATCATTGCCCAAAACATCTCTGCTCCCAGCTGAGAGTGGGGCTGGGTTTGCTTGATGCTTAGCTCACGGTAACGTGCTGGCCTGCCAGGGACAAGAGCTGCACCCAGGCATGGGCTCTCGCAGGAGACAGAGCACCGGGAGTCAGGGATGGGGCCGAGGGCTCACGGCTGGCTGGAGTTGGGCTCCTCTGAGCATCCTGTGAAGAGCAGGTCCTGCCTCTGTCGGGGGACTGCCTTGCACTGGCGCCCATTGTAATCCTGGGTGCACTTTTGCCTGCAAGCAGTGTAGGATTGATCCATGCAGATCTCACATCCATTCAGGTCTTTCTGCTCAGGGCTGGGGAGGGAGAAGGAGGAGGTAGATGCAGATTATGTGCTGGCATATCAGAGTGTCTTAGCAAGGGACCCTCCTGCTCTCCCAGTGGGAGGTAGAGGTCTGTCTCCAGCCCACCCTGGCATTTCCCTATGCCTGGGGTCCCCTCCTGTTCGGCCTCATGCTCAGGTAAGGAGGTGAGCAGGGCTGGGACTGGCTCAGGTCCTCGAGGGCTGCTTAAGGCAGCCTTTCAGTGGCAGATTTTGAGGAAGCTGCAGGTAACTGAAAGGAAATGGTGATCAAGGGCAGGAGCTCTTGCACACAGCTCGTAGCTGCCCCATCCTGCCTGGGCTCTGTCCCAGCTTCCCTACCTGCCCTACAGAGAATGGTGCTGCCATCCCTGGGCTCAGGAAGTGCTTTAACACGCTTCGTTCAGCCCTTCCACCTCTGCTAGAGATGAAAAAAGCTCCTCTGGCTGCCATTGCCAAGGCACCTGTCTGTCCTTGACCCTCTGCTGCAGCACCCTGTGCCATCACAGGGCAGCATCAGCAGTCGGAGGGTCACTTGGATATCAGGGCAGCCAGCCTGGCCCTTGCCCTTCACTGTCCCTGATTCCAGAGGTGCTTCCAGGATACCCCGAGGCCTCCCACCCCGCCTCCTCCCTCTCCCTGGAGCCACCGGAGGGGCTGGGCTGGGAACTCACCATGGGAAGCACCGACTCAGTACAAACCACAGTGGGTAAACGATTACGGGTGCAATTGCAGCCCAAGTTCCACTTCCCCAGCGCTTTAACTGCGAAGCAGAACTGTGCGAGGGCAGAGGGGAGGGCAGGGGAGGAGAGGAAAGGAGAGGGTGCCCAGACACTCGGAGAGGCAGAAGCAGGGTCCGGAGCAGGACACCGCGGGCAGGAGCAGCAATGGCGGACGCCTTCATCCGGCACATCGAGCTGCTGGGCTACGAGAAAAGGTTTTTCCCCAGCCAGCACTATGTGAGTACACAGCAACCTTCCAACAAGTGAAGAGCGAGGACTGGGCGGGGTAAAAAGCCTGCCCAGCAAATTTCCTGAGATAAATGTGACCAAGGGCCTAAGAACATCCTTTTTGGAGGGGTCATGGATGATGGCATGAGCTGGAGGCAATCAGAGACTAAAATGTCCTAAACACACAAGATTTTGGGCACCTCCTTTGCAAGCTGTTGGTTACTTCACAGGCTTGGAAAGCACTTTTTCCTCTTTGACTGCCACCCATCCGCATGTTTCTGTCCCCTCTCCATCCATGCTGAGTTCCTTAGTGCCCAGCTTGCTCGATGACAAGGCAGAGCTATTTGCATGGGGTGGTGGAAGGAAAACACGCAGTTTATCTGAAACTGGAACATCTGTGGGGCTCCCCAGGCACAGCGCAGTGTGGGGTCCCACTCACCTGCAGAGCTTCAACCTCTGCTTTGCCCTTCAGGTCTACATGTTCCTGGTGAAGTGGAATGACCTATCCGAAAAGGTCGTCTACCGCCGCTTTACTGAGATATACGAGTTCCACGTGAGTCCTTGCAGGACAGGCACTGTCCCCTGGCCCAGCACACCAGGGCTCAAGGTGGGGAAAAGAGGAGGGTGAATTCCATCTGAAATTGCCCCAAAGCAAACCTGGCTCCAAAGAAGCTTCTGTGTCCAGTCCTTCAATCTCTTTTGCCCCTTTAAAGGTGGGAGTCATCTGTGTCCCTGGGCAGGTTTCTCCCAGTGCTGAAGTGTGGGATCCAGCCAGCACATCCTAGTGGCAGCAGGGCGAGCATCAAGAAGGGGGGCAAGCTGTGGGCAGGAGGGTGGGTGTTAAAGGGGGTTCCCCTGGTGCCATCCTCACGGCCTGCCTGGCTCTACCTGCAGAAAGTGCTGAAGGAGATGTTCCCCATTGAATCCGGGGACATCAACACAGAGAACCGGATCATCCCACACTTGCCAGGTGAGGGGCAAGCACCGGGGCTGGAGGGTGAAATAGAAATTGCAGCAGGTTGGGAAATTCCCTGGTGGGTCAAGCTGTTCTGGCTGCTTCCCAGGCAGGTGCGTGGTCTGATCATTCCTGCCCACCAAGCTTGAAATCTAAACCCTGGAAAGATCTGAGCGGTGGCAGTGGTTCCTCCCCACTCCGCAGCCCCACAGACTCCTTTCTGAAGGCTGGGCATGTCCTGAAGCATCAGCTGTGACCCCTGGCTTTGGGGAGGCTGAGCTGAGCTGAGCTGAGCCCTCCTTTGGTGACACCATCACTGGGGTTGGTTTAATGCCCGTATGGCAACACAGATACTTTGTAAGCAATGCAATACCTCTTCAATGACAGGGAATGAACTCCTGATCCAAACAGCTTTGTCCCCAAGCAAGTGCAGGTCAACAAACTTCCCCCTTTTAATTAATTTCCTGCTTTAAAGGAGGCAGGAGAGAGCCTGAGAAAGAAGTACAGATTGTGGTTGACACCTATCAACGAGGAATAAGCCTGCACTATGCAGGGTGGCACATTTGGGAGGCAGCTCCGTTGGGGCTGGACTAACACTGGCATGCTGGGCTTGTTCCCATGCACCGCCCCCACCATGCTCGGGCTGTTCAAGTGTCCTTGTTCCGCTTGGGGAACTGAGAGCACTGGGGACTAGGCAGGTGTCAGACTGCTCTGGGGGGGGCATGGGTGTGCCACCAACCACACACATGCACCCCCTGTTATGCAGTTCAGCATTGCTGGGGGTTGGAGCTGCCAGTGACATTTTGGAGCTCTGGGGTCAAGAGCACCGTGGCCAGTGGGACAGGGGGATAAGCATAAGCATAAGTGTCCTCTGATCACAGGCTCCCCCTCTGGGTGCCCCAATGCAGCTGCTGTATTTATGGGCCAGCAGCTGGGCTTAGTCTGAACACATGTGGGAATTATCCTGAAGCTGAAATGGGGTCAAACAGGGTCTTTTCTGAGCTTGCATGAGCTGTACTCCCCCAGAGCTTCACATTATGGACACCATGGAACCATGCAGCACCCTGGGGCCAAACCCACTTGTTTGCAGGGCAAAATTAATGATTCAGAGCAGCCTGCTTGGGAACATATTAAAAACAAGGCTCTCTGTCTGCTTTTTCTGAGCCCTTTTCCCTCTCCCTCAGCCCCAAAGTGGTTTGATGGGCAGCGCTCGACTGAGAACAGGCAGGGCACGCTGGCCGAGTACTGCTACACACTGGTCAACCTGCCCCACAAGATCTCTCGATGCCTGCATGTGGTCAGCTTCTTCAAGGTCCGTCATGATGACATGAACCCTGTCACGGACAGCCAGTGAGTCCAGCTGCCTGCTAGTTTGAGGGAAATCCTGTGTCCCTGGCCTTTGGGTGCTGGCAGTAGCCCACAGGGAGGACATCGCTGCTGATGGACAGGGGTGGTTGGCATTGAGCTGCCTTTGCTCTGACCTGTCTAGGATCAAGAAGCCTGAGGTCTTCCTCCTGCCGAAGGATTCCAAGCAAAGCCTCACTGGTAAGAGGCCTCAGAGGGGTGCAAGCAGCTGCCTTGGTAGCAACAAAGGCCATTTGGGAGAGGGGCTGCCATCCCACAGCGGATATGCTCATCAAGAGCACGGTCTTTGTGCCAGAGCTTCAGCTGGGGGGAAGCCAAAGCTTCAGGGGGAATGAGTCACTGTCCTGAGATCCAGCTGCTTTGGGGAAGGAAGAGGCTGGGAGGGCACTTTGGGCTGTCCTGGGGCTGCTTCTGGCCTGCCTGAAATAGGGTGTTTCTCTGCTGGGTGCTGGGAGAGGGAACATCTCTCACTTCTCCCATGCAGACATCACAGGCCCCATCGTCCTGCAAACCTATCGAGCCATCGCTGACTATGAGAAGAGCTCCATGTCCGAGATGGCTCTAAAAGCTGGGGACATGGTGGATGTCGTGGAGAAGAGCGAGAATGGTATGTGTCCATCCCTTGGAAGTGTCCCGAGGGCCAGCCCCCTCCCTGCCACCATTTCAGCAGGGATGAGGACTGCCCTTGCATCTTGAGTCCAAACGTAGCATGTGAGTTAGTTATGACAGTGCACAGGCTGAAGGGTGAGGGGCAATTCTAGAAAACGGTGCAACTTCCTGATGTGCCTCAGCCTGTGAGGTTTCCTGCCCAGCAGGAACATGATGAACTGGTCAAGCCCTCTGGTTGCACCATGTCAACAGAGACCAGCCCCAGCACTGTCCCTTCAGTCCAGGACATGTGGATGTCTGCACCTGCCCCAGCCAGGACAGACTCAGTGCTAGTGTCCCCATGGTGCCCCCACAGTATTCTCTGTTCATGTCCATGGCTACTTTCCTTGCAGGCTGGTGGTTTTGCCAGTTGAAGAATAAACGGGGCTGGGTGCCTGCTGCCTATCTGGAGCCGATGGATGGTCCTGATGAGTCTGAAGAGCAGGAGCCCAACTATGCAGGTAAAATGCTGGGGTGACCAGGGTATGCATCAGTGCACAGCCTGTGCAGCTCCCCACTGGGATGGCTCACTGCAAGACTGGGCAATCCACACTGAGCAGGATCACTGGGCAGGGAGATGCTGCTGTAGGAACTGCCAGAAGGGATAAATCTCATGATTTGGTGCCTCAATGTCAACCTTGGGAGCTTCCCATGACCTGCAACTCAGCATTAGACGTGTTTTGGCTGATCACAGATGCTCATCTTGATCCAGTGGCCGTGCTGAGGTGGCTGGGTGAATACTGAAGTGCTGGGTTAGCAGAGGAGCACAGTGCCCCCCACGTCACCCTGCCATGACAATGGGGCCTTATTGCATGGAGCAGAGGGAGGATCCCACAGACTTGTGCTAATTGCTCACCAGGCTTCAGCTTCATGGGATTTACAACACTGCAACAGGCTTTATTACCACAACACTTCCTTCTGCCTCATTTCATCAACTGAATTCTGAACACACTTTCCAGCAGAGATAGTTGTGCTTCCACTGCTTGCACCCAGCAGCTTTCTTCTGGAGAGGTGATGGAGGGGCTGGGATGAGCCATGGGCAGTGACAAGGCTGGGGAAAGTCTGAATCCAAACTTGAAGCACCCTGGGTCTTGCCTAAAATGTACGATAAATGTTCTGGTGCCTCCTCTCTCCTCAGTGGCTGGGGAGGTTGAGCTCCATCCCAGGGGGGGCAGCATATGATCTGCCATCCCCATTTTGTGTGCAGGTGAGTCGTATGTGGTCCAGAAAAGCTACACAGCTGTGGAAGAGGACGAGTTGACCCTCAAGGAGGGTGATACAATCGAAGTCATCCACAAGCTCCTTGATGGCTGGTGGGTCATCAGGTGAGAGATGCCAAGAACAGGTCAGGTGAGCAGGATTCAGGCAGAGGGAAGGGATGCACCCATGGTTCTCCACATCAGGGCTGTGGAAGCCGTGGGCTGTTTGGTGCCACTGCCCAGCACTTCCTTTTGCAGGGCTGCTTCTTAGAGTCTCTTCTTTGCCAAATATTAAATGTCCCCTCTGTTGGGGACTTCAGAAATATCCAAGAAGGAGGCAGATGGGAAAAAAAATTGTTAGTTATTTTGCCTCTAATTGGTCTGGCACATTTTGCTTTGCAAAATCTCAACTTCCATCTCATCTGCAAGGAACATGAAAGGTAACCCACAGGACACCAGCAGGGGACAGGCATGAACCATGAATCATGGGATATCCTAAGCAGGAGGTGTTCAAGGCCAGTTGAATGGGGCTTGGAACAACCTGCTCTAATGGAAGGTGTCCCTGCCCATGGCAGGGAGTTGGAACAAGATGATCTTTAAGGTCGCTTCCAAGCCAAACCACCCTGGGATTCTTTGACACCCACAAGGATCATCAAGTCTCTCTCCCGGACTGAGGAGGCAGTTGCAGAGCCACGACTGCAAGTGATGTTGCTTTGTGTTGCACTGCAGGAAGGATGAAACCACGGGTTATTACCCCTCCATGTACCTGCAGAAAGCTGGAGAGGTAAACTCTGTGAAGAGTGAACTGAGGAACCGGAGTGCTCCTCCACGGAGGTAGGAGAAGCCCTGGGTGGGAGGGGGCTTGGACTAAAGCTCTTCCTTGAGCAAGATGAAATTAAACCAGACAGTGGGTTGTGGTGTCACCTGCTTGCCCTGTCAATGAGGAACTGCTTGGGTCGATGTGAGCAGAGCAGACAGACCAGGCTGCAGCAAAACCAGCTTTGTGCTCCCCAGCTCCCACAAGTACCCTAGCATTGCTGGTGCCAGGCTGCGTGATCCTTACTCCAACAGGTCCTCCAGCCAGGGCATTTCTCCGTGTCCTTCTGCAAAGTTTATTTTCTGGGCTAATCTCCTTTAATTTTCAAATTGACCATTTTCTTATTTCCCAAGTGCATGCACTGAATCTAAGAGGCGAGATTTGACTAAACAGAGCTGCCAAATGGCCTAATCTGACGGGAGGATTTGAGCTAATGGAAGGGATTTTATTTTGATTAAAAAGATAAAAAGCAATAATAACTCATTAATTCTGGTGTGGAGAGAATGGCTAGGAAGGGCAGAGCTTGCAGCTGTCTTTTCTTCCCTGCAAGAAAACACATAAACCCTGCTCTAAAAATCTCTCCAAATCCAGTTCTGATGGATCATGGACTGGATGTGGGACAGTGTAAAGTGGTCCAGATCCACCTATTTGAGTGCAGGAATGCTTGCTGATACCCTTGGGGGAGGTGAGGTGGCCTGTTCCAAGGTGACTGTCTTGTCCCCCCACCATGGTGACACTGCCCCTGCAGTGCTGGCGCTGGCAGCCAGGCTGAGCCCTGTTGCAAATGTGGTGACCTGCCATTGTGGGTAAGAGCTTTAATATGACATGGGATGTGTTCTCAGACCAGGAAGGGGCTGAAGGTAGGCAGACACATTGGCTCAAGAAGAGCAGGAGGATGGTGCCATGAGGTGGAGTTCAGGAGCCACCTCACTGCTGTGTGGTAGTGGAGGCAAAGCAGTGGCCTCCGTCTGCGTGCCTGGGGGCGGTCCTGATGCTGTGTGTTCTCCTGTAGTAGCACCATGCTGCTGAGCCTTTAACTTCTCTCAGTAGTTTCTCTGCTGTGGGTTCAACACTGCACATCCAGGTGCATGCTGACACATGCCCCACGCTCCATTCCCCTGCATCTGATCCTTGGGCATTGGGGAGCCATGCCAAGCCCTACAGCAGGGACCTCAGTGTTGCAGCCAGGAGAGGTGCTGTATGTCCACTCATCAAAGAGCTATAGATCACTTACGGGGCTTTCTTGGTAAACCTCATGCCCATCTCATCCTCCCAGCCTTACACCCAATCTTCCTCACCATCCCCATTGTTACCTTCCAGGCTCAGGGTTCACCCTTCAGTGTTTGCTTCTAAAGCACCATCCAGCTACCTCTGAACACATCGTACATCATGTCCCTCGTGGCTCTCCTCGAGGGCTGGCATCCACCAGGCAAAACTCAAAAGCAGAAATTGGGGTTTGGGTGAAGCAGAGGAGGAGACACGGTGAAAGAAACGTGTGGTGTTAGAGCTACCAGCATTAAAATGAAAGTTTTGTTTCTCACTCCCTGCAGATCCACCATCCGAAATGCGAAGAGCATCCATAAGCAGGGCCGGAAGCAGATCAGCCCGGAGACTTACAGGAGGAACAGCAAGAAGTACATCCAGAGCCAGTGGAACATGCAGGGAAATTCCCAGAACAAGGCCAATGTCATCAGTAAGTCTCAACGAGACTGGAATCCTGCAGGCATGGGCTGTGACCCCCAGTGCTGGCAGCTGGAGCAGGATGGCACACTTAGGTCACCCCCTGCCCATCTGCCTTTTTCCTATGGGGAAAGTGTGTGCAGGGAGGTGTTTCTTTCAGCGAGGTTTCTTACCCCTGGCTATAGGTCAGATAGAGTGGAATATGGACCTGGAGGGAGGTCAGCCCGCATTTGGGACGTGTGCTTTCCTCTGTGCACCTCGCCTCCCCATTACTATTGCCATTGCCACATACGTGAGCTGTCAGCAGAGCCCCCAGAGGGAAGTGTTGTATGAAGAATCATGGAATCATAGAATGGTTTCAGTAGGAAGGGACCTTAATGATTATCTTGTTCCAACCCCACCTTCCACTAGCCCAGGTTGCTCCAAGACCCGTCCAACCTGGCCTTGAACACTTTCAAGCATGGAACAGCCATAGCTTCTCTGAGCAACCTGTGCCAGGGCCTTACCCCCCTCACAGGCAAGATTTTTTTCCTAATATTTAATCTAACCCTTCCCTCTGTCATTGTGAAGCCATTCCTCCTTGTCCTGTCACTCCAGCCCCTTGTAAAAAGCCTCTCTCCATGAGAAAGATGGCTGCCATTGAGGTAGACCCTTTAGATCTGGCAGTCCCCATGCAGTACCCATGACCTTCCCGAGGGAGAGCAGCTCCTTGTGCAGACCTAAAGCTGGGATTCCCCTGAGAAGAGTTCCCAGCTGGGCACAGGTGGGCTCATCCCACCACCCTCACCTACATGAAGACCGTTACAGGCAACAGGGAGGAGAGGCAGAAGCTTTGGTGGCCATCACATAGGAAGCTGCTGAACGTTCATGAGGGGAGTGGGTGGTGGAGCACTTTGACCCATCTGTACATCTGCTTTGCTCACAGTTGAGAAAAATGAGCCACAGGACAACAAGGCCAAGGCTCAACCTGCTGTTCCTCCTCGTCCCAGCAAAGATCTCATCTTGAACCGCTGCACTGAGAGGACCTGGAGGAAGATCCTGTGAGGATTCTCTGAGCCCCCACACCAGACACCCACTGCTTCATCTCCTCCAGCCCCTGCACAGCCAGGGCTTGGAGCCAGACCAGGGATCCATGTGGTTCTGGCAGCCACCACAGGCCACAGGGGACTGCTGGGCAAATCGGCACAGACCTGTGCCCGCCCTCATCCTCCATCATGGCCAGCCCAAGGTGTCCTGGTGGCATTGTGAGGAGGGACTGGCCCTGCTCCACCAGCACCAGGGGGCTGAGACCTCACAGCCACCAGGACCCCTCATCTCTAGATCCCCTTTTATCACCTCTTTGTGTTTTGAATGATTTTGTGGTTTTCATCAATAAAGGAGAGACACTTGATAGACATCTCAGTGTCCACCTAGACAGTGAATCAGGCAGACCCTGAGGAGCAGAGTGGGTATCGTGACAGAAAAGGTGTTCTCCCTGGGGGATATTGGGCAAGAGTCTCTTGCAAAAGATGCTGGCAGGGAGGAAATTTAGTTGAGGGGGATGAAAGGACGGCAGCTTCCTCCTGGAAGGCGGCTACTTTGTTCCCTGAAGTGGAAAGCGAGGGCTAGGATGTGAGGATGGGGCTGCTTCTCAGAGGGAGTGTGGTGTGACGGCTGGTTTTGGGTGCCACCAGAGCCAGCCCTGCCATCACCACGCCAGACGGGGTTGGTCTGGGTCTGGGTTTGGATTTGGGTTTGGGGTGAGGTCTGGGTCTACATGTAGATTTGGGCCTGAGTTTGGGTTTTGATCTTGGTTTGGGTCTGGGCTGGGTCTAATCCATACCAGGGTGCGGATTTAGGTCTGGGGGTATGTTTAGATTTAGAACTAGGTTTGGGTGTAGGTTTAGGTTTAGATTTGGGTCTGGGCTCTGAGACACACCCTCAGCAGATGGCGG